AAAACATTAATCTTCGATGTATTTCAAAGTGTTTCCTTTATATGAATTTGGTGCTTTTTTTTTTTCTTTTGCTGTGTTTCATTTTTTTCTTCAAAAATCTAAAAAAAGGAGCCATTCCAATCCCTTTCCAGACCCTCCATTCTCGGGAAGCTTCTCTCTTCTCGCAGAGCCGAGGTACTCCGACGAGATGTGGCCCCCAACAGTCTCTTCCAACCGCAGCCCCTTTGCACGGAGCTTCAGCTGGAATGATGGGGGCAGACGGGGAGATGGGGTGCTGCTGAGCTCGCCGAGGTCAGGGGGTGCCCTTGGGAGCCATGGCCTCCCCTTGAGGACGGTGGTGAAGGGTCCCGGCAGCCATGGCCCCGGGACACTCTCTGTGTTTGCCTCGTTTGCTGGGACTGGACCTCCTGAATGTGGGGCTAGGCCCCCCATCAAAGGTGCTGGGCTTCGAGGGGCCAAATCCCTTCCCAGGGGGCCTTGCACCACCAGGTGTGGAGGCTCCGGACACCGGGACATCGGGGCAGCCTGGGGGCCCTGGGCAGGGCGCCAAAATGTCCTGGTTTGCCTCTTCCTCCAGGACCTCGTTCCCCCAAAGTCCTGCCCCTGCAGGACTTAGGCTTCACTCTCGGCTCTGCCTCTGCACAGAGGGGATCACTGGTCTTCTGAAGGAGTGCCGCCAACTGAGCTGTGAGATTCCTGGGTGTGAGTCAACACTGCCCGCCTTGGGGGTGGCCGGGAGCCTGCAGAGCCCTACCCCAACTCCTGCTCTCACCAACCCCCACCCTGTGTGAACACACCAGGAGGCCACCGTGGGGACAGCTGGGGGAGAGAGCAGTGGGTGGAGGGCTGGGCTTCTTTTCCTCTGGGGTCCGAGTCTACTGGGGTGTCAGAGAAGTCGAGAGCCCGGTGGATGACCCCACAGTCCCCCAGGTGCTAGTTCTCCTGGAAAATAAGGTCAGCGAGCCCCACCCAGATTCTCCAGCCCTCTCCACCCCCCACCCCCGGGGCCATCCAGGGGCTCAGTGGTGAGGCGACACCGGGCCCCTGGAAGCTGTTCTCGCCTCCTCAGAGGCATCGTCTACGTCCTCAGGAAGTTCACTTTTTCTCAGTAGTTGAGATGAGATTGAATCCCTGAGGTCTTGCCCTTACGGCTGGTACCAAGGAGAAAACCCTTCCCACTGTTTATCCGGCCGAGCACTGTGGTGTGGAACCTGGGCTTTTACCCTGCATCTGCCTGGGCCTCAGCAGAGCAGTTCCTGCAGCACGTTGAAGGGTCAGTGGGGAAGGGGCTAGGTAAGAGTGCCCAGGACCCCCCGAGAGTCGCTGTGGACAGGGCAAGCCTTCCAGAGGCAAGGGAGGCGGAGGGTGACGGCCAGTGGCCGAGTCTGCAGTCCTCGCACACGAGGGTGCGGTTCGTGAATCCCTCAGCAGCATCCTGAGGCATCTCAGCAGGACTCTGGCTGGAGTGGTGTTCTCAGGAGACGCGACCTTCGGGGCAGCGTGGAGCAGGAGGAACTATGGAGGAAGTCTGGGAAGAGGGACCGGAGGGGGGTGTGGTGAAATGACCGTGGGGTCCAGACCTTGAGTCAGGATGTGCCGGGGGGGAGCGCAGCCCCGGAGTGGCCCTCGAGTGGCCCTCGAGTGGAAAGGAACCTGTGTCCTCACCCCACTCACACACGGGAACCTCCAGACCTTCGCTGTGGCCAGGCCACTGGGGTGGGGGCGGTGATAGTGGGGTTCGGTAGGGGGGCAGGGTAGATTTGGGGGCTTCCTACTTTCTGCCCAATTTTGCACTTTTTGAACCTGAAACTGCTCTAAAAATAAAGTTTATTAATGAATGTTAAAAAGTCAGAAAAGCACATCTACAGATATGATCAATAACAAATACCAACATTGTTAGCCAAGAATACACTGTAATTCTTACAAGGTACATATGAGTAAAGAACAATGAGTAATATACATCTAATTGTTTAATACTCAACATACAATCAACATGTTCTGATCCCACGTGTAAACTGTATAAAAGAGGACCTTGCTTTTCGTTTGTACGAATGTTGCATCCTCACAGCAAACATTCGCAGGGTTAAAATGTACCACGTCTAGAGGCTGCGTAGCTACTGCTTGTTTCAAAACAAAAGGAAGTTACTGCTGCCTGTTAAGCCACTGAGTTACACCGTCACCTCTAACCCAAGGGGTCTCTCTATTTCCAAGAGATGGTATTATACAGCAAGTTTACTTTATAGCCAAGTTAGGCCAAAAGGTTTTCTTTTTAAAAAAGAATAAAAGCAAGTACATGTAGAAATGTGTCTGCCAGGCGCCAGGGTGCGGATTCTCAGTACTTCTGTGGGTAGCCTTGCGTCCATAAATGGCTCATTTTCATCCTGGGTATAATTTATGAAAGGGTATAAAAACTGCTTCTTAAGGCAAGAATCCTCATTTTTTTAGTAGCCATTCAACTGCTTAGGGAATCCTCTTGACGTCTGCTGTTTGGTGAGTTGCCGTGCCCTTTCACCCTAGAGATAAAGGGGGCCTGGCTGCCAGAGGGAGGCCAACTGGGGGTGGCACAAGCGGCAGGAACGCTCTCTGTCTTTACTTTACACCAGTCCATTGTTTGACAGAGAAAGTGGGAGAAAGGAATCTGTTCTCGAGCTCCTGCCTTTTCATCGGCCCGCTGTACCCTTTCCTCTCCGATGCTTGGGCGGCTCTCCCGGGATCTGCCACTGTGCAGGTCCCTGGCACTCAGGAAGGATGCTGAGGTCTTTGTGGCTCAGTGTGCTTTCCGTCCTGAGGCCCCTGCGTGAACAGAATTTGCTTGCAAACCCACACACCTGTGGTGGGTCCCCAGGTGCTGGTTCTTAGCCTTGGCCGCACCTGGGAAGGACTCTGGGAGCTCAAAAAAGTGCAAAATCTGGGATTTGCACCCAGACATTGGTACTGAAGTGTTCTGAGGCATAGCTTGTCTCAGGATTGTGCAAATCTGCCCGTGACTTCACTGCATCGGGACACGGGAGTAGCCACATCCCTAGGGCCTCGCAGGTTCTCTAGTCCATGTTGCTCAATGCATAGCCATGGCGAACAGACGAGTAAAACCATTCGCACCAACTGCATGTTGATCATAAAAATACCAATTAACATAATTTGCAACCAAATGCTGTTACTGCTTTTTGTACACCTCGAGGGTCATAGTAGCAGAGGGGTGGAGGGTGGTACACAGTTGGATCTCTTAGTGATAACAGACACTAATTCTCTTCCAATAACAGCCCCTCAAAGACTTAACAGAACCTGCTTCACACCCAGACGAAGCTAAATGTGCTTTCCCATCTCCCCCTTTTAGAAATAGAAAAGTATAATGCTCATTTTCATCAGGACAACGGCCTAAGCTTAGGTCTGCAATAACATTGGCACAGAGAGAGAGAGAGGCTTTGCTCCTCCTTCAGTGAAACCCTTCCTGAAAACAAAGATTTCAGTTTCAAATTTTGATTCTCTTGTAGCCTCTCTAAAGTATACTAGTTCCTTTTGTAGAAGAAAAGGACTTCTAAAAGGTATCTGACAAAGTTTAGTGCTACAGAAAAGGATAATATTTCTCCCCAAAGTTACAAAAATAGATTTACGGAACACACCCCGTCTGACTAGTACCGAGGTGCATGTCCCCCCGCCCCCCAGTGTGTGGCTCAGGGAGGGAGGCAGGTTTCCGGCCAGTTACAGCCCCAGGGGAGAAATGACCACTCCGTGACCATGTGCTTCTGCAAAGGAAGAATGCTGAGTGGACCTTCTGCCCCCTGGCTTCAGCTGACCCTCTAAGTGAGCGGCTCATTGGCTGCCAGAGGGGACAGCACGTCTAACTGGCTTCTTGGAAATGCACTCAGCCCAAGGGCTGAGCAAGGCTCAGATAAGAGAGGTGCTGGAGACCAGGAATTCGAGGCTGTTGGCGTAGTAGAGACTGCAAATTGTCCCACCCATTGCCTCTGGAGATCTTTACTGCGTGTGGCCTGTTTTATTCTGTCCTGACGTGGGGGCATAGAGCAGACACCCAGCCTTGAATGGCCAAGGGTAACCTTGGAGGTGAGAGTTTTAACTGCTTGCCATTCGACTCCCATGGGGAGCCCCTGAGATTTTGGTTAAATCTGTCTGAGGGGACCCCGGCCCTTTTCCCTTCAAACTCACCAGGTGACTCCAGCGGGCAGTGAGGTGAGGACCTTGGGTCACCGTGACCTGTAAGCCTTGTATGATGCTCGTGCAGCCTGAGGCCCGTGGCCAGTGAGTCCTGTGTGGTTGCCCATCAGCCGAGGGCCGATTCGCACCACAGCTTTCCTTCACCCCCTGGTCCCCAGAAGAGCCTGGGGGAACCTGGGAGAGTCCCGGGGCCTGGGCTGCCCCTGAGACACCTGGCTCGAACTTTGTGGTGTGGACCCAGGGCAGCTGAGCTGGAGGACCGGCACCCCATGGGCTTGCTGGTGCAATCTGTGGTTCCCTTCCGTCTGAGTGACGAACTTTCAACAGGTACCTAAGCTGTGAAGATTCATCTCCACTTTACCTCATGAGTAAATACAGGAGTATTTTTCATGGAGCATGGTCCTAGGGCCGCCTTAAGGATTATTTGAGAGCCTGTCGCACGGGCTGTCAGCATCCAGCTCCTTCAGCCCCTGACTCCACATCTCCAGGCCGGGGCTGAGGTTGGGCAGTGGGTGCAGCTGCAGGGACCCACCGAGGGCGAATCAGAGGACCGGCGGCTACCAGCATGGGTGCAGGACGGAGGGTGAGCTTTGAAACCTGGCCCATCAGGGCCATTGGATGCAAACCCTGCCTCCTGGGACCCCCCTCCTGACCAGCCACAGGAATCTTCTCCTCGAACCCCCCCCCCCCAGGAGCTCTGCTCTTTCAGGCTCGGAAGCATCGACAAGCCCCCGTACCTCCCTGAGCAGATGGGGTGAGAAACGCAACCTTGAGAACTTGGCAACTAGATTTCACGCAGGAAAACCGAAATCCAAAGGAGAAGCAGCTTGAATGGTTTTTGCTGTTTTATTATGTTATAGTAAACTGTTTCAAATTACAAAAATACTAGGATTTAACTGCTACAATACGACTGGGGACAGGCACCCTCCCTTGCCGATCACCTGTGTTTTGGCAAATAAAAGTGACAGTGGAATGTGAATTGTTGTTCCCCAGAGCCGAATAAACATCTGACTAAAACATTGACTTTCTCTAGTGAACTAAGAATAAGTGATTTAATGACAATGGCATCAAACTGCAGATTCTCAGAAATGTTGTCTAACGTCCTCAGAGATGTCACTGAGCATTTTAAAATCCCTGGTGGGGACACCACATGCCCAAGGGGGACCTGGGGACCAAGGCCCGGGATATCCCAGGGTAAAGGGGCAGCCTGGGGACCTGACTCAGCCGCTGCAATTCCCACCGCCGCCACCGGGAGCGCACTTTCTGCCTCCTCCTGCCTGAGACCCCGGCCCCTTTCGGCCCCACTCAGAGTCGTTGACGAACCCGGGGTCTCCTCAGGAGCAGCCTGTCTGCCTGCCTGCCCTCTGCTGTCCCAGGGCCCTGCTGACGCGGTCCATCTAGCACTTGTCACATTGCTCTACGTTCAGTATTTGTGAGTCTGTTTGCTTTGCTCTACAGTCAGTGCCTGGGAATCAGGGATGATGTTTGATTCCCTTTTGTGCCTTCAGTACCTTTGCTGGGCTGGCTGGTGTAGGTGAGGACATGGTGGAAGGGGCTTGACTAGCGTGTGTATTTCCACTGAGACGAGATACGAGGTGGCGGAACACACCCATGGGCCAGAAAGGTCTCGGCAGTGTTTCCTCCTGGGTGGACGGGGGGAAGGGGGGTGGCGAAGCGTGTGCAGAACGCCACCACTGCTAGGTCAGGTTGAAGGGACACGCAGATTGGAAAGAACGTTAGCGTCCCCCGGGTCCTCCTCCAATGATAGAGATATCTTTTTTTAAGAAGAAAAAAATATTTCTTTTCTTCTAATACGCCCCTAGATGTTGCAAAGGCAGTGTCTTCAATTTCAAACTCAAGTGTCTCACTTGCCACTTGAATTCCACCCTCTACATAATGTCATCTTTACTGTCACCTGTAAAGTGTGCCCACCGTGGCTGTAAGTAGTTGCCTGATCCTTTTATTGACACAGGACAATGGGTGGGGGTGGGGGGGCTTTGGGGACAGCTTACCAAGAAAGAATAAAGTACCTTCTGAGCAAAAAAAAAAAAAAACCTTCTGAAGTGAAATAAAAAGAAAATTATCTTCTATGAGTAGCCTAAACTAATTTTTGGGGGAGGGAAAGGTTAAATGAGTTTTAAGCACAGCTTCATCTCTGCAGCCCGTGGATTACGAACTTGCCCCCGGTCCTCAAAGGACTTGATGAACTTCCCGAGACTCAGATCTGGGGGGATGGGCTCTTGTCTGAGCTTCTGCATCTCGGTTAAAGGCTGCCGTTCTGAGGGCAGCCGCCTGGGCTGTCCTTTATCTTTTGCCGTACCGTCTGGTCTGGTGGGTGGAGACACCAGACTGGGTTTCCAAACCAGTGGAATGCAAAAATAAACAAGGAAATCTTGATGCTTACAGGTAGGAAACACTGGCCAACCAGTAGAGAGTAAGTACCGAGGAGATGTTGGTACAAAAGTCAGTCCGATGAGGAATTCTAACCCTTCTGGTCCCTCTTGGCCCAGAATGGGGTCCAAGTGGCTTATCTCTGCACCTGCCAGGACTGGACGCCACGACCGTCGGGCCTGCTCGGGTCACGGAGGCCTTCTCGTCTGGGCTGCCTGGCAGTGGAAGAGCCTGGAAGCAGAGCCAGCGCGTCTGTCGAGTGTCAGCTGGAAGACTGGCCCTTGCTTCTCGGTCCCGGTTGGGCCCCGTGCACTCAGGGCAGCCATCGTGACACTTGGACAAGCTTCCTCCTCATTGGAAACGCCAGTTCAGAACCAACAATGACAACCAAACCCTGAAAGGTCCCCAAGCAATAACACTCTGTATAGATGTAGTTTTTTCCCCCTCAAATATACCTCATTGTAAAGTGAACTTCAGTCCGATGGGCAACATTCTTTCCTGGACGCCTTGTACCAGAGCCTCCCAGTCTGAAGACAGAGGGATGTCCCTGCGGCTTCCCAAAGTGCACTGGAGTAGGGGCACTTCCCGGTTGAAAGATGAGTTGATCAGAGCAGATATGGCTAAACCAGTCCAGAGGTCCAGGACTCGCGTGGGCACACAGTGGGGATGGGTGTGGCGGTGCCACTGGTCCTGGGGCTGAGGAGCCTGCGGTTGTTACTGTTGCTGCTCCCTCCACGGTCATGCTCCTATAAATTCACTGCTCGGGGCGCCGGCCCTCAGGTAGTCTGCATTTTCAGCTGTCGGCCCCTTAAAGACGCCATTGGACTTGGGAAAGAAGTCCTGCTGGTAGTCGGGGTTGTCCAGGCTAATTTGGTGGCTGCCTTTCTGCACCCAGAGAGTGGGGCCGTCGGGGACACCGTTGATGGTGGGAGGAGGGGCAGCGTTGAGATACTCGGGGTTGCCCACGGCGTTGCTGTGGGGGTTCTGGTAGTGAGGGTCTCGGCCCGGAGCCAGGTTTAGGGGCTGATTGTGGTAGACGGGGTTCTGGACAGAGCCCGCTGGCCTTTTGGGAACCACCTGGTTTATGTATTCTGAAATGGAAAGGACGTCAGAGAGCGTCAGCAAAGGGTCCTGCAGGCAGCCCCTCGTGGCTTGTTCTGAAGCCTGAGAACCTGACAGGGGGGCAGGGGACCTGGGGAGGGGACTGTGCTGCTCTGGCTGCAAAGCAAGTCATGTCCTGGTCTGTACCTCTCAAAGCAGTGGGTACACTTATCTTTCACCCGCTCCTGCCTTGGGGGGGTGTGTGTGCAGGCAGGTGGGGGGTGTGTCTGGGAAAAAGCGTAGAGCAGAAAAACCCATGGTTCGTAGGCAAGAGTGGATGGAGCGGAGAAAACAGAGACCAAATCTGCCCCTCACACACGCACACCTGCACACAAGCATGCCTGTGCACACACAGCCACACACACTGCTCACACACTCACATACTCACGCATCCTCTCACACACGTGCATCTGAGTGGTTTGCTTCAAAGTCTAGAGAACCAGCAGGTTCGTTCTAACACCAAAGCTCCAACCCAGCACCTGGACACGCCGTGTGCTCACCGCCCACGCCCCACGTGCTGGGCTCGGTTGGCTCTGTCGTGTGCCGTTTACCTGCCTCTCCCTCCCTGCTCTGTGTCTGTGTCTGAAAATGTGCCACCGTCTCCACCTCACAGTCGGCCTGGAGGAAGCCACCGGCCAGGACACTGGGGCTGGAGGCTGCCGAGCATGACCGACTCCAGGGCAAGCCACTGACCTGGCGCTGGGAAGAATGTGCCATTGATGTCCTCAGTCAAGGCGCCGGTGGGGTCGGAGCTGTACCGCTGCAAGAAGCTCTCTTCCTTCAGGGGGCAGCTCTGCTAGGGGGTGGGAGGCAAGGTCACGGTAGTCAGGACCCCTCAGACGGTGGCGTGTGAGGCCACCTGAGGCCCAGTCACAGTGTCGGCTCTGACTCAGCAGGTTGGGGGCAGGGCCTGAGGCTGCGCAGTCCTAACACTGACCGCTGGGCGAGGCCCCCACCAGGGACGCCCCACGGCCCGCCTGCAAGGGCCTCTGGCCTGTGCTCTGCGATATGGCAGCCGCGGCCGCACCTGTGAGGATCTGGACGCATGTTACCTTTAATTGTAATTAATGAATATGTGGGGGTAAGCAGCAGCGTGTGGCCTGTAGTGTCCACACCGGTCGGGGAGCATCTAGGTCGAGGCTCCCCGCCCTTGAGCACTGGCGTCATCTAAAGGGCGTCTGGGGCAGGGGCCCTGAGACTTGCACTTGTCATCGACGGCCAGGTGAGGCCGGGGCTGCTGGTCCCTGAGCCGCATTCTGCATTGCTCTGCAGGGAAGTAAGACCTCACTGTGGCCCGCGGGGAGGCGGTCAAGGAGCCAGGCAGGGAAGAAACCACACAGAGAGGAAGCTCAGCCTTCTCTGGGGGAGTCTGGGCATTTTCCTTTCTCTTTTTTTATCCTTACCCAAGGAGGACATTTTTTTTCATTGCTCTTAGAAAGAGAGGAACGGAGAGAGAGAAACATTGATGCAAGAGAGAAATACTGATCAATTGCCTCCCATATGCTATAGACTGTGGATTGAACCCACAACCTAGGTAAGTACTGGGACTGGGAATTGAACCCATAACCCCTCGGCCACGGGATGACACTCCAACCAAGTGCGCCACACTGGCCAGGGCCATCTGGGCACTGTTCTGCGTGTAACAGAGCCGCGCCGAAGCACTGTCGCCGAGTTCTGGTTTCCCGGGTTCCATACGTACCCCGTTCCTGTCGACACAAGCCGCGGTGGAGCTGTTGCTGGTGGCACTCTGGAAAGGAAGCGAAGGTGTTCATTGGACGCTGCACGTCTCGCCCACTTCGCTGAGCGCGCGAGGAGCGTCTCACGGAGTGGAGGCATGCGCAGGTGCTTAATGTCGTCTGGACCCATTAGCTTTAGGACAGCCAGGCTTAGTTTCGATCAGTCCTACCCCTGAGAGAGCCTCAGAAGGCTCCGACCCAGCCGTCGAGATGCCGTGGAAAAGTTGCCGCACCGAATGGATTCGTCCCGAGTCTGGCTGTGCCATTTAGTGAGAATGAACCTCTCGGGCTCGGGGCGAGTTCCACTAGACGGGGACCATTTTCCCGGAAACCCCGTGAGAAAGAGTGAAGCTTCTTACCATGGAGCTCAGGAGAGGCGCCCGGGAGGTGGAGGGGCTGTGGAAGAAGGCCTGCTGGGGGATGAGGTACTCGTCGGCGTCCACCACGTCCTCCATGTCCTCTTCGTCCATCAGGGCGCGGTAGAAGTTGGAGTCCGTAGGGCTGGGCAGGTGCATTCTCTCGTCCCCCTGGGGCAGAGGTTTGAGACCGTCAGTAAGGCCCAGAGGGCTGTCACTGGCTTTCTGGCTGGGGGTGGGGGACAGGGGTCTCTGCTGGCAGGCGCCTGTGTGTTTGCCATGTTAGTCATCACTGTACAGTCGCTCCGCTCTTCCTCCCTCCCCTGACCTGGAAGTAAACATTAAAAATTCCTCGCTGTGCAAAAGCCCCCGAACGAAGTGCGAACAGCTCAGGAGGGAAAGGAAAGGCAGGAGGCAACAGTGTGCACTGAGTGTGCATGGGGCTCTTAGTTGCTATGGTATCGGGATTTACAGTAATATACAGGTGGGTGGAAGTCCGTGTGCAGTCCTGGATCCACGGAGCAGTCCTTGAGGTGCTGAGCTGTGGGTTTTGCTCGAGCATCTCACTGCGTCTTGAACAGTGCCCGCGAGCTTGGTTCGGTTAGCCTGGCATGAGGGAGCACAGTGACAAGCTGCACTCCCCGATGTGCGAGCAGACAGAGATCGGGTACCTGGATGACGAGGTAGCGCTGGGGGTCCCGGGCCATCTTGGAGAATTCGTGAATCAGCTCCCGGAACTTGGGGCGGCTGTCTGCGTCTATCATCCAGCCTGGAGAGGGGGTGAAGGGAAAACGGGGCGATGAGAAGCCTGAGAGTGCCGTGATGAGGGCGTCGCTGAAAGCCAGCTTTTGCAATGAGGCCCTCTTAGACGAATGTGTGCCAAGGAAACCTGAGCTTGGCGAAGGACCCTCCAGCCTGGGCCAGGGAGCACTGACCTGTCTAGAGCCCCTCACGCCAGGACAGGTGTGGATCTGAGGGGCACTCTCCCCCCGGCTTTCTCTGCGCTTGCTCTTCTGAGAGCCGGCGCGCCAGTGCCATTCCCTCCAGTGACCCGGTGGCCTTGTTATGCTCATGGCTTCTCGTGACCTGTTCTGAGGGTCTGGGCTCTGGCGTCAAGCCATCCTGAGACAGCCAGCCTCACCTAAGGTCACTCGGCAAGCTTGCAAGTTTGAAACTGGATTCCGTTTAGGGAAATTTAGGGACTTTCTTTAAGAACCTCGGGACTTGGGATTTCCCCTCCCTGGTGCTGCCCTTGGAGCACGTACCCAGGAGTCACGAGTGACAGGGTGGGGAGCGGCGGGTGTTCAGGGCCCTCCCTAGGGGGACACTCTTGGTTAGCTGTGTGGGTGCGTTCCAGCACACTGCCACCCAGGCCTGCATTAACAAGCAGGAGCAGCAGCTGCGAGCTGGAAATCCTCCTGCCTCTCAGGGTTCATCTTTATTTCCTCTCAGTGGGATGTCAGGCTATTTTAGGCCGGACTGTGGGGTGACCTCACACAAGTCACAACCCCCTTGGAATCCCAGCTTGCTCAGCCCCCCGAGCAAGGAAGGTAAAATAGGAGACCTGCAGTTCAAAGTTCGAAGAGGCACTAACATTTACACTGACTTTGCTTCCTGGGCTGTCCCTGTGGTCCCTTCTCGTGTAAACGCTCAGCACACATGTCCTGTCACCTCCAGGGCCCCCTGGGCGGGGGCTTCTGGGGCGGTCCCAGCGTCAACTAAGCCACACACTCTGACCTGGATTAACATGTTTACTTGCCTCATGTAAACCGGCCATTTGGAAGATTCAAATCACAGCAGAAATGTTGATTCTATTGGCCTCATGTGGTTACTCATTATTAGGCCTTTAAAAACATTCCGTCTCTCTGGTAACGAAATGTAGGCTGGCTTTTCCCGGGAGCAACTCACACTCCAGTATTTCGGTGTCAGGGCTTACGGAGGACTTTGACTTTGTTTATTTGCTTCCAACCATGGGAAGATGCCAGGTCACAGCGCTCAGTGAGTCAGGCTAGGGCTTCTTGAGAAATGTTTGAGGGGACAGTGACAGATGTCTCTGGACCTGAGCGCTCGCCACAGAGAATGTGACAGCAGCCCTGACTGATGTGGCTCAGTGGATTGAGTGCAGGCCTGCAAACCAAAGGGTCACAGGTTCTATTCCCAGTCAGGGCACAAGCCTGGATTGCAGGCCAGGTCTCCAGTGGGGGTGCATGAGAGGCAACCACACACTGATGTTTCTCTTTCTCTCTTTTCTCTCCCTTCCTCTCTCTCTGAGAATAAATAAATAAAATCTTTAAAAAAGATAAAACACAAACAAACAAAAAGAGAAAAGAATGTGACGGCATTTTGCAGGGTTAGAATCTAAGGTCTCCATTGTTGGCTAAGGGCAGCAATGCCTTTCCGGGCCCAGCGAGGCTGGCTGAAGGCCAGTTACGCAAGGGCGGTGGCCATGGCTGTCACTCACACTTGACCATGATCATGTAGACGTCGATGGTGCAGATGGGTGGCTGTGGGAGGCGCTCCCCTTTCTCCAGGACGGTTGAGATTTCACTCGCCGGGATTCCGTCGTAAGGCTTGGACCCAAAGGTCATCAGCTCCCAAACAGTGACCCCTGTGGGGATGAAGTTGTGACTCTGTGAGTCAATAATCACAGCCCCTCGTCCTTAGTCTTCATGTGGATGCCGCTCCTAAGGTTTAAAACACCTATGTTCCTGTGGTCTTGGGCAGCCGGCGCGAGTACAGGGAGCCTCAGTTTACCTCTCTGTAAAGTGGGACGATGAGAGTGTGTATCTCCTAACATGGCTGTGAGGGTCAGATAAGGTGACAGGATGGAAACGTTCGGTCAACGCCAGGCACACCGCCAGTGGCCAATAGACTCTGTATCAACGACGAAGACCACACGGCCATGGGGATGACACAAATGTTATTGACACAGTGGGGAGGGGACACCCCAGACAGCTGTGGACTGGGAAGGGGAAACACGGGTATGACAGACAAGGGTAGCAATTGGGTGTTTGAACAAGAGAAATATTGGAAACAGAAATTCCCCTCTACCCTTTTGGCAAACACAATACCCTGTACTTTTTTTTCAAAGTCAAACATCATATTAAGAAATAAATCAGAGCAACACTAATTCTAGAGGGGGTGTGGTTTTCAGACCACGCCCCAGCCTCGCGGTCTCTCCGCTCTGAGCCTCTGTGCGCCCGGAACCCTGTGCTCTGGAAACAGACCGACGCCCTGGGGGCCTGACCCCACCTGGACGGGCAGGTGCCCTGAGATGCCACTAGAGACGACCGCAGTGGGACTGGGCCGGGCCCCCAGACTCCACACACAGGGATCAGACCCAGGCTAGGCCGGGTCCCCAGTGGGCCCGACGACCCCCTTTTCTCAGAGCTGGTTTCTGGGTACAGATCGTCACAATCTGATGGCCATTCAGATTGAACTGGCCATTCAGTTCCAGAGGCCATTCCCGAGCCAGTGCCTGAACTGACACACAAAATGCAGGGCTGGGACGGGGAGAGGCGCGATGGCCAGGGGCAGGAGGGAGGTTCTTTGGTCCTGGCTGCTACCCAGTCGATACGGACTTGGTGCAAGAAAGGCGACCTCCTCCCCGGATGGATGGGTCCGCGAATTCCCATCGACACGGTCCGAGCGCTGTGTCTCCGTGAGCACGTGCACCCCCTGGGGAAGGCTTCCCAGGACGGGAACAAATGGTGAAGGGATGAGCACGCATCCGGCTGTGGTTGGGAGTGGGGCTGGGAGGTGGTACGAATGCTCTGTCTTCCACCTGCTCAGGGGGGCACACAGGTCCCCCGTTTATTAAAACACTTTGCCTTGACCGGACACCAGAGAGTGGGGTAACAGCATATGCTCTTTCCACTCACAACTCAGGCTCATGATCTAACAGTTTCAGCGTGCAGTGGATTTCGATCACTGACGACTCGATTTCCAGCAAAAGGAAAAATGTACAGCCACTGCCATGATGCTGAATTTCTGATTCTGGCAGCAATCATTCCAAGGCATTAAGTTGCTGAAATTCACTAACTGGATTTCAGTTACTGGACAAACATGGACCTAGTGTGAGCTGTGGGTGGGCAGAGGTGGGGTGCGGGGCGGGGAGTGGGATGTGCACAGGGAGGCAGCTCTGGAGGCTGGAAAGGGGGGAAGCACCAGAGCATCATGCACCAGGCCATCGATCCCGGCTAGGAGCTCGGGTTCCATTGGGAACATTTGGGGAAACCATAGAAGGGTGTCATGTGGAGAAGGACAAGCCTGATGCAGTTAGAAATATATTCTGCCTGCTTGGGACTAGATGAGAGCAGGCAAAGCAGGAAGCGGGGAGACCCCGGGGCTCCTGCTGTAGTCTGACTGAGGGGGACAGGCGGCTCCGGCTGGTGGGGTGTCAATGAAGAGGACCCAGGGCAGGGTCCTGGACGCAGGGAGAAGCCCTTCTTTCCACCTGTCTTGAGGGGTAGACCCATCTAGAAAGGGACTGAAAATAAAAAGGCATCAGAAGAGCTTAATTTCCTTATCTTGTTCGCTAATCCCAATCCGCTCAGCTCAGGAGTCCCTGCGAAAATTCACTGATTCTTTCACACAGACCTCTGCCTTTGTGGTGCCGGCCTTCTCATCGAAGAGACAGATGAGACCCAGGACGTTAAAAAAACGACTTTGGAGACACGAGGAAGTTCATGATGCTGTGAAAAAACATGCTCAGTGGACGCTGCCCGGAATGATTTTGTTTTTGTGACGACGACTAGATTCCTCTGGGAAATTCCTTTCAATATTGTTCTCCCCAAATACACATTTCTGTGGAGGTGGGGTGACTCCTCCCGTTCACCCCCATTGCTTCCATAGCTGGGGACAGACTGACAAGTCACAAGTGGGCACGACACTTTCAGCAGATGGCTGGGTGACTTGTGAGGCCGTGGTCTGGTCACACGCTAAACGTGCCCAGGGGGGCTGGAGAAGGGGAAAGCAGTGGGGGACAGAGCTCAGGCTCATGCAGGGATGGTGGGATCCGCAGGGGGTGGGGCATGAGGCAGGTGGGGTCACAGGGGGTAGGATTCAGGGGGGGGTGTGTTCAGAGAGAGTGGCATTTTCAGGGGGTGGGATTTGTAGGGGGAATGAACGAAGTCTGGAAGCCATGAGGACCTCCTGTTTCTGCTGTCTTCCAAAACATCTTCCTGGGGGCCCTTCGGTCAAGCCGTTCTCTCTGAGACGCAGAGCTCAGAACCCTTCCCTCCATGGAGCGCTGGCCATGAGTCCGTCAGCACCCACCCCCACATCTCCCTTCCCTGTGGAGCCTTCTTTGCTGCCTCATTGCTGTTCCCTTCAGATTCACGGCAAGAGGCGGAGTCCGGTTTGATCCCGCAGATGCAGGCATTTCCCAAACCAAGTTGTCTCTCTCCCCCCACTGTCCTCCCCCGACCCTCGACAAGTTCCCCGATGTCCGGTGGTGTTTAGTGTGGCATTTAGACTCAATTTCCTGTGTCATGTTTTTTTAGCATAGTAGACACACAGCAGCTGTTCTGTTGCTGTTAGTCATTGTCTCAGAAGAAAACGCTGGGGAGGCAGAGTGCAAAATGTAGCTCAGCAAACAATATGAGCCAGCACGGCCCCTGGACAAGGTCACCCGCTTCTTGACCCGGACTCACCGTAGCTCCAGACATCACTTTGGTGGGTATAAATTCGGTGTAAAATAGACTCCAAAGCCATCCACTTGATGGGCACCTTGGGATTGTGAGAGACAACGTGAGAGTCAACTATGAGCTTCCCTCTGCTGAGGAACATTAAGTCACGCTGGGACAGATGATGAGTGACTCTGTGGGGAAGCCAGGTCACCCTGCCCCCCGTCCCCTGGCCAAGTGCTCTCCCAGCAGGAGGAGCAGTTGGGCTGTCCTGTTAGGGCCCCCGAGCTGGCAGCCGAGGGCCTCTGGTCGGGGTGTGTCCTGCAGAGCTGGGGGTGCGTGTTGGCAGCTGGGGACCTGGTCCTGCCCTATGGTCCAGTCCGCCCCGTGTGTGTGGGTGCCTGCTGGGGCCACGCAGGCCAGAGTGAAACTGAAGAGGGGTATGGCTGATCCAGAGCATTCTGGAAGGCCTAACAGGAGACCTCTGTGCCTCTCTGCTCGAGGAGAGACCCCTGGAGAGCCCCAAAACCTGTGCGAGAGGGGGGAGCATGCTCCACCACGCTGGTACCCTCGGGGTGTCTGGGAACGCCTCGGAGCTCTCCGCATTTCGGACGTGTTCTCAGCAGCAGCGGCCACCTACCAGCTGCACTCTTCCCAGAGGTCTCTCTGAAGGGGGCGTTCTCCCGCCGGGGGCGGCTGAAACCTCACCTCTGCTACCCGGACATGGAGCTGAGCTCACCGCTACTGCTTTTGATTCCCCGGGTGCTTCAGAAACATCCTTACTCTCTCGCCTGGCAAATCCTCGTCCTAAGCCACCTGCCTGGCTTGCACGGACAGCAGACCCTGGCTAGACCCAGGTGTCACTGAGAACGTCCTGAGGATGTCCCCTATGTCAGCCAGTCAGTCAGCGGTGGGAACATGCCGGTCCGAGCCGGGCCCTTACTTTGCCCCCCTCTGCGTGGTACTCTTTCTCCTCTGCACCCAGCAGTTTGGCCAGCCCGAAGTCCGTGATCTTGACGTGCTGTGGCGTCTTCACCAGGACGTTCCTGGCCGCCAAGTCCCGGTGCACCAGGCGCCGGTCCTCCAGGTAGTTCATGCCCTGAAACACAGGGCCACGCGGTGAGCAACACGAGCTGCCGACTCACTGACCCCTCCCCAGCCTCGTGACACCCGAGTTGCAACCCCGGAGGGACTGAGCAGGGGAGGACAGTCACGGAGCAGGAGCTGCCCACTGGGCTGCCACCTGGCTGGCTGCCTGGCCCTGTGCTGAATGGAGCTGAGCCATGTGGCAGGCGGACAGAGGCTTCCCAGTGGTGTCCTGCAGACTCGCTCCCAGTTCAGCTGCCCCTCCCAGTCACACTGCCGATGCAGAAGGTCTGTCCAGTTTTATTCTCTCTCTATCTCTCATTTGTAAATGGAAGAAGCCACATGGCTACCGAATTGGCTTCTACAAGGCGCCATGCCCTGCGCCCTCTGCGGCAGTCAGAATCCCTGCTGTAAGAGAAAGTGAGAAACACAGCTGAGAGGCCCCTAGCACAGCACCCGGCCCACAGCGAATTCCCGGGCAGCAGCCCCGAAATCCTCCAGCTGGCAGGTGGGGCCCTCCTGGCCTCCTCTCCTACTTGCCTGAAGCCTGTCTCCCTTCATCCTACCGAGCTCCAGGCTGTCGATGTGGCTGGCAGCCCTCCCCTCTGTGCAGGGCCAGGTGGCAGGAGGGACAAGCTGTGGGGGAGGGGCTTGGCCCTGCAGACCCCTCCCTCTCACCCACCCAGGCACCCCAGGACAGGGGACGTCTCCCCTCCTTTAGGGCCGATACACGGAAACTCTCCAGCACAGAGAAGGCGCCGCAGGAATGGCGCCCAAAGAGCATGAGAAGGATGCACGTGGGTTTTACCGGCTCCCTGTTACTCACTCCCTTGTCTGCGGCCGTGGCTGGGGCTTGTCTGCTCCGCTTTGGTGCAACAGTAGGGACAAAATCCCACCCCCCAATTTTCTGGCAAAATTCTTTGCTTTCTTTCACATAGATATGAGATGAAAATTATTAGTTAGCTTGTCACAGCAGAGTGATATTTTAAAAATGTTCTTTTTGGAGCAAAACTAGCCATCCTAGCCCACTTGAGTCAGTCACTCAGGGCTGTTTATGAAGTTTATCAGGATTTTCTTCAGGAAAAAGTGACGGATTCCCCCATCTCCCTTCTCTGTGGTATTGTCCAGAAAGGTCCTGAATGAGCGTTTAAGATGCTGTTGGACTTAAATGCTCCCCTTCCTAAGAGTTCTCAGGTGCCAGGAAAGAAGGTGAATGGGGCTCAGGTCCGCTCAGGAGGCAGCCAGTGCAGGTCTTCTCTGGACCAGCACGTCCACCCTGGGGGTAACTATTCAGGGGTGGAAGCCGAGAAAATGCACCTGAACGGAGGGCTGACTTGCTGCTCTCTGTCCCCTCCCTGGGGAGCCCCCCTTCCCCGGGCCCCTTCCACGGGCTCAGGCTCCTCCCTTTTGAGCCCTGGGGCCCTACGGTGATGTGTGCTGGCCCCCCTTCCCGTCTCTTAAGAAAGGGGAATTTCTCCATTTTTAAATATGATGGACTCACCCATTCAAAAAGGGTTAGTTATGCTTGGCCCCTTGCCTGGCTGGGCACAGAGTCTGTATTCCCTCAGTGTGCTCTCCTCTATCTTCCTCCTCCTCCCTCTCCCTCCGTCCCCTCCTTTCTCTGTCCCCGTTGCTCACTCACTGCCGCAGTGCAAGTTTCCTGCAGACAGCTCCGTGGGAGCTGCACTGCACGTACGGGTAGCAGCAACCCGCCGAGTCCCTGCGTGCGGAAACCTGTCACTCTGTCCCTTTATTTAAAGTTCACGGTGTTTTGGTGAGTGGGTTGAACCCACAAGGGGGGCTTCAGAGGGTATTTCCGGCTGCACTTCGTTATCCTCACTCACGTCCATTCTGCCTCTGTGGAGGCCCAGCAGAGAAGCTGGTACAATACTGGACACGTTTCTCACAAAGTTTGCTGAAGAATGAATGAACGAATAAATGATAATAGCAGCTGGCAGTTTGGAACACTCTGGATGTGCCAGGCATTTTAAGCCTGTTCTAGAAGGTTCTGGAAGTCCTGGCAACCATATGGCCGCCCTGAGAGCTGACCCAGAAAGTCCAGGGACTGAGATGCTTCACAGACCGAGTCCTCTGAGTCCCCAAGACCAACATTGGGACCTTGTCCTGAATTTCCTGCTGGGGTCTCCAAGGGAAGCTGGCCTGCTGGCCCAAAGGCTACTTGGGATGTGAAAAAAACAACCCCAACCAAACCGAAACAAGGACTAACTGCCCAGCCTGCTGGCCCCGTGCCGCTGAGCAAGTTCATGTGCAAACCTAATAAATGGAGCCGAGTTCCACCCCGCCCCATTCCTCGCCCGCAGGCCCTTAAAGGACCAGAGCAAGTTGACTGAATTGTGATGTTTTCTCAGAAGCAGGCTTGGGAAAGGGGCGGGAAGGGCAGTTTCCAGATTCTGGAGCCACAGGGAACCAGCCAGAGAGCTTTGAATCCCAGAGATAATTCTGGGACTCGGAGATTAGACTCTTTGAACTTAGATAAGACTATGTTCTTGGGTCTCTGTCCCACACTCCAGAGGCACTTTGAAAGGCCACCTCAGGGCCGGCAGGCTTACACTTTAACCAGTCTCCAACGATAAGAGCCGAGCGAGACAGTGCTCGTGAACTCCCAGGGGCTCCGGGCAGACGCCGCGGGAAGCCCTATCGGCAGCGCCTCTGTGGGGCCCTGTGGGAAACTCATTTCCTGATTGCAGATCCTGACTCCAGTTTAGGTCGGCGCATTTATCTTTGTTAATTACTGCAGGACGGCGAGGATGAAAGTTGAAACACCAAGGTTAAAGGGACTCGGACCCAACAACCTAGAACCTGAATACACAGCCCCAGGAAAGGCTTTCCAGGACAGGGAAGATTCTGGCAGGGTGGCTGTGCCGGACACGTGCAGAGTCTGTTCCCTGGGAGGCTGCCACATCCTGTGACACCTGGGAGGAGTCCAGAGTGGGATAGACCCCCACGTGGAAAAGCACCGGTGCACACCAACACCTCGGATGGGCAAGTGGCAGAAAGCAGGATGCAGACAGCGTACCCCACGGCTGAGCCCTGTCTTCAGAGGAGGCAGGACGGTGTATGCATGTCCTCCTGGGGACTGAGATCGTGTGGCACAGACGTCCTACCGTGCGGGGATAGGACGCCACCTGGGCACTGGCCTGTGGGCTCGACCTGGAGCTGAGAGGTCAAGTGAGGGTGAAGGATAAGAAGCAGGGCTGCCTGGCGTCAAATTTTGGGTGTGCTGCTGGCCAGCCTGGGGCCATGGCCAGATCCTTAGATGCCCCATGCCGCAGTTTCCCCATAGTAAAGTGGACTTGGAGAAGAAATTCTTTGAACTCTTATCTTTTGGGAAGCTGATCCTCATTCAGTTTTATCTTGCAGATTGAACTGAGCAGAGTTTGGTGCTGATAAGGCTGTGGTCGGAGAAAGACAGCCAGACACACATTGCCTTTTCAGACTGTCCCCTGCTTGGACGTCTCTCTTCACACCTCACCAGGGCCTGCTCCCAAGGCTCTTAACCTTCCATCTCTTGTCTGGAAGCCCAGCTCTGTGAGGTCTTCATCCGGGTCGGGCCCAGAAGGGGCGGGGAACGCTAGCTGAGCCACAGCCTAGTCAGCTTATCTATCACAGAACTTCGCAATAAGGTGACTGCGGTGTCTGCAGGGACCTGTGTGACACCATAGAACTGTTTTCCAAACTTCAGTGACGAGAAGTTCTGCTTGGATTAGAACGTTGTACAACGTGGATGTGCCACGGAAGATATTTTGGGATTTACTAGCTGGCTGGCAGAGCCAGAAAGAGTTGGATACACTCTCTGAAGTCCCTAAGTCACTTCGCGTAAGTGACAGACACCCATGACCTTGTGAGCCAGGAGTTTAGCAACCTACGACCTTTCTGACGGGCAGGCGGGTAGGTGACGCCTCTGCAAACTCCTGAGAGCAAGGTTGTAAGGTGGCGGACAGAAGCCATTTCTACCGAAAGCAGCAGGGGCGTGACTTCCTTCTGTACCCCAAATCCTGCCCCCTCTTCCTCCCTCCGCCAGTTCTATTCTTCTCCCCCTTTTGCCCGGCTGAGACCATTTTTATTTGTCCTCTTGGCAGTGTAGCCAGGACAATCAGCCAGCTTCCCCATGATATTTAGACAACTTCCCAAGACGGCCCCTGCCCTGGTGAAGCAACAGAGGACCTTTACAAGTCAATAAATCCCACCTCGCACAGGCCAGGAGTGCAGTGCCTGGCCAGCCACTGAGTGTTTCTGGGTAGTTCGTTTCCCTGAAACCTTTTACAAAGAACATTGTTTAATACTCAGATGAATAGTCCCGAACCCAAGAGCCACTTTCTCTCTTCCCAGCTGAGAAAAAGCCCTCGTTTTCTCGAGGGCTTTCCCAGCCCTGCTGGGCACAGACGCTGTGCACTGCGGCTATTGGAACGTGCGACTCCCAGGAAAGTGCGCGGGTCACTGGACCAAGGTGGAACAGGCCCCTGGGGGAGGACTTCAGCGCAAAGCGATGCTCCACAGGGCACAAGCTGCGGAACGGGGGCGGGGGAGGGCTTACATAAGAGGCAGACATTGCGAGTGACATCCTATAGAGAGAGAACCAGCCTGGAAAACGTTTAGGCCCAGGACACGCAGCTCTGGACCTGCGGTGCCTCCCACTCGACTGGACCTAATGTAGGGGGTGGGGGGCTGAGTCCGTCCCTGCTGTGGGCGCTGCCATTTTTAGGAGACGCTGCTCTAAGTAGGTGCAGAACTAGCCAGAAACCACGTTTTCAGTCAGATTTTGGTCATCACACCCACCCGCCCACTCTGGCTACCACCTGGGGAGAGACATGGAGGAAGGGGCCATCGGTGAGCACCGGATGCGTGGCAGGTGTCCTCCCGGCACCTGGGTGGAAGGGTGGCAGAATCCCACTACAGCCAAGAGACTTGGCGCAAAAACACGGAGCCGCCTGCCCGATACCCGCTGGTGCATATGTGCCGGAACCGAGATTTAAATCTGCACGCAGCCAGCCCACCTCCTGGAGTCCTGAGCCCACTTCTGCCTCGGGTGCTGCGACCCATCACGTGACAAGTGACTTTTGGGATCCACACGAGATACTTAGAGACAAGCACTAACCAGCTGGTGGGTGCACCTTAGGATCCGGGGCGTGGGGTGCCACCAGGGATCCGCTCACAGAGCCCCCCTCCCAGGGCGGGTAGGTGGGCACAAGTCACTGCAAACAAGAAAACACACATCTTCCTGGGGAGCGTTCTGTGCTACAAGGAAAATAAATCAAGGTTCTCGAGACAGCCTGGGAAGGCAGCCGTGGCCTGCGCTTTCCTGCCGTGGAGGGTCAGGGACCAGACAGAGCTAGGGAGGAATTTTTGGGGTGGGGAGTCAGGACATGACTAGACCCTGAGGAGTAGTTCTCGGTTCACTCAAGCCCACTAGGGACTAGCCCCCTCCTCCCCTGCACAGCCCTGGTTGTGGGCTGAATAGTGTCCCCCAAATTCCATGTCTACCCACAACTTCAGAGGGTGACCTTATTTGAACATAAGGTTTCACACATTGAATTAAAGATCTTGAGATGAACTCATCCTGGATTCAGGGATGGCTGCTGTCTTTCAGAAGAAAGGAGAGGGCGGTCCAGACACACATGGGGACGACTCCACCCGAGGTGACATGGCAGAAGCACCTGTCACCCCCCTCTGCCCTCCACACCAGGCCTTGCACCCAGCACCTGCCCTGCCCATGAAGCCACCGGGCTCCCAGTCCTTCTAGGCTCAGTTTCGTGTGCGCACCTTGTTACCGAGTCCCACGCGGGACAGATGTCTCCACTCCTACAAGTTACCGAAGAACCCCAGACAAATAAAAGCCCTAATACCCAACCATCCTGAGCACCCAATGAAGAGAAAACTGTGAAAATGTGGTGGATAATGAGATTTTCGATGCACAGTGGGACAGGCCCTGATTGGATGCAGAAGACAATTCAGTTTCATTCAAAAGAAAGTGTGGCTCTCGCTAACAACCGCATGCCCCCAGAGCTAAGGGCTCCGGTGGCCCTCAGAGGCTGCGGGGTCCGGCGTCTGTGCTGTGCACCCTCCTAGACAGGTGCCCCCCGGACATACCTTGGCAATCTGCACACACCAGTTGAGCAGGTACTGGGAGCCGATGTTGTCCTTGTGCTCGCGGACGTAGTCCAGTAGGCAGCCGAAGGGCATGAGCTGGGTGATGAGCTGCACGGTGGAGGTCAGACAGATGCCCAGAAGGCGGCACACATGGGGGTGGTCCACGCTGGCCATGACGTAGGCTTCCTGTGAGGGCGAGAGCAGGGCAGCATCAGTGAGGCTCCCCGAGGGGCTGGAGGGAGCGGTCAGCAGACTCCACTCCAGGTCAAAAAGCATGAGCATGATTTTAAGTTTGCAAATGTGTCCACGGAGGGGTGGGGAAGCTGACCCATGACACGGAGAGGGACATTTCTACAGGGCCTGTTATGTAGCAGGCTGTGAAACCACCAGGTACTTTGCAGAGCCGGTACCTGCCTTGGGGTGCACGCAGATTCCCCTTTCCAGAGAGCCCCTGGCAGCGTTTGCCACCAGCAAAACACTGGTTGAGAAAGAGACCCTAGGTCCCGGAGTGTGGGCAGTGCTGAAGGCATCAGATGAATCCCTCCGCCTCAAGGCTAAGAGGCTGCCAGTCAAAATGCTGTCAGGGACCCCTCATTAGGCATAGGCACCACACAGGTGTGACGGGAGGCGCTCCAGCTGAGGCCACCTGAGCCAGCAGGTGGTGAGGGAGGCCTCCAGTCTCAGCAGAGCACTCTGTGGAAACTGCTGTGGTCTTTGGGCTGCCTCTGTCAAGTGGAGCTGGAAAAGCCCTTTCTGGGTGCCCGTCCTCCGGCTTTGGAAGGGACAGAGGGCATTGAGTCTACCGGGGAGGCAGACTCAGCTGGCTGCCTAAGACTCACTGTGAAGGCAGTCAGGGAGTGGGGGGGGGGTCTGTGAGGCCCCTGCCTGAGTGTTAGCGCAGGACCATGCTACTCTGCAAAAGGCACCCCTGCCCTGCTGAAGTTGGCTGGCCCACAGGCAGGAGCCCAGGACACAGGCCAGCAAACAGAGACTTAGCTTGGACCCTCTGCTATTCCTGGGCAGAGGAAGCTGCTTTATTTACCACCCTGCACACAGCGAGGCTCACTCTTCTGCCTGAGAGAGCACCATGGGGTCCTCCTGGATTTCCACCCCTCCGTCCTGCTTCTTTCCTTTAAAATGCAAAGGGCAGTGGCTTTCTCTGGGGGCTGTTAAAGGGACCACATGATCTGCAGGAGACAGTCCAGGGGCTCCTCTGTGCCTCTCAGCTGCTCCTGCAGGGAGCGGGCAGCTGGGCTCTTTGTACAAGTGAAGGCCTCAATCCCCCTTTCCCTGGTCTCACTGTCCCTGGGGTTAGCCTGGGGGCCTTGCGTTTGGGCCCCTCTGATCCTCCTGTCCAGTTGCATCAACCCTCCCTCAGCCACCCCCACCTCTACCCCCACCCCAGGGGACAAGCTGGGTCTCCTCCCCTGCCTCCCTTACTCCTCCTCTCAGGGGGCCTCCCTGACCCCCAATCTGAGTTAAACTTCCCAGCATCTCTCACTTTTCCTTGGAGGAGCAGGCTGGGCACAGCCTAGAAACTCTAAGTTAAGTTACAGATGCAAACTCTCCAGCCTCCTCGAGCTGCAGGGAGGTGAGGCCCAGCGATCTGTGGGAACCCAGGGCTTCCGAGCATTGCCCATGAGACACACTGACACATCTGTGTGATCCTGAACACCGCCCCCCCCCCCGCCAAGCTCTCTGGGGCCTGCACAGCCGCTCCAGGGCCACGCCCAGAGCCCCACCCGGACCGCAGGGCCAGACGCTGGTTATTTATTGCCTCGATTTCCCCTGCTTGTGCTGACTCAGCGAGCGCGGTCAGCACTTTGGCGGGAGCGCCTGGCTCTTGCTTTCTCTTTCCCCTCCAGCAGGGCCTGCCCGACGTGCAGGCACCGCGCTGCCTTGGAAACGGCAGGGCGGAGCGGCCCTGAAATCTGGCAAAGCCAGAAGCCCCAAGCAGAGCAGAGACCGTGCGCCGTCCACGAACAACACCAGAGAGGCTGCAGGTGTTAGCGGCGGGCCTTCCGCTTGGATGCCTTCCTGAGTGGTTAGGCTCTCTCCTTGCATGTACGGTCTGTACTTCTTTTTATTTAATTTATTAAAAATTTAATCTTCACCCGAGGAATGTTTATTGATTTTAGAGAGAGACAGAGAGAGAGAGAGACAGAGACGGAGAGGCATCATCGTGAGAGAGGAACATGGGCCGGCTGCCTCCACAGAGGCCCAGACCAGGGATTGAACCCACACACTAGGTCTGTGCCTTGACTGGGAATCAAACCTGCAACCTTTTGGTGTACGAGACAACACTCCAATCAGCCAAGCCACCCAGCCAGGGCAGAGTCTGAATGTCTTTTATCTTGGAAACCTAACATCACCATTAAAGAGTAGATGCTTCATACTTAGGGACATCCGAATACCCCTTCACCTTTGAGAAGGGCTCTTTTTGAAAAGTCAGGACTGGCGAGGGCCTGCGAATACCTTTCCCTGGAGGCCGTTTTGTGCCTAACGAGGGCACTGAGGCCCAGTGAAGTGAATGGCTGGCCTGAGACCCCGATTCCTAGTGGGATAGCTGGGCACATGGGCCAGCAGACTCTGGCCAAGTGCTGTGGCTGAAGCTCTACCAGAAAACTCTGGACGCTATGCCACACACAGCACGTATGTGAGTCTGTTTTGCTTTCTCTTTCCACGGCCTGCTCTAGGTTTACACTGGAAAGCCCATGGAAAAATTAATAGGCCCTGGGATTGCCAGAGAAGCACAAATCATGCCCTCCCCCGAGTCTGGGAACTGGGACAACCATAACACCGAAGCACTCCTCTGGCGGCCCCTGCTCTCTCAAGATCTGGTCGAGCTTCGGGAACATATTGTATTCATTGTGGCGGGGGGAGAATTCTGCCGCTGGAGCAGTCTGAGCAGCCCATCTGTTGTGGGGCCAGCGAGGACTGGACCGGGACCTGGGAATCAGGGAACGGAGCGCGGCTGTGGGTGTCGGGCCACACAGAGCCTGGCGCCCCGCCAGGTCCCCGATTGCAGTAGAAGCTGATGGAGCAACAGAACCGGGCCACCACTTCCGCCGCACCCCCCACCCTCTGGGCACAATGGGGCCGAGACTGGGTCACGTGTCCTGTTCACCGTGCGCAGAAGTTAAAGTGAGCTTTGTTCTGGGCTGTTTATTTTGGAGTCCCAGAGGTTCAGTGACCCACGCCAAGCATGCCTGGTATTTGCAGCGATCTCTGCACTGGCCGCAGCCCGGACAGGAGCGGGCGAAGCCCGCACTCTGAGGCCCGGAGGGCAGGTGCCCAGCTCACATGGCACAGGCCTCTCTGGGGCCTGGGGACCCTGAAAGTCTGCTACTTTGTCCCAGCTGCCAAAATGAATTTTGGTTCCTTTCTTCTTGCTTGTTTTCCCTATTTGAGAACTATTTCTTGTTAAGAGTTGGGAGGAAGGACTCCACTGGAGGTTAAACCCCTTCCGCAGAGGTGTGTCAGACCGAAGGGTAAAGAGCAGGCACCTCATGTTTTTGAAACTTGACCAGTTAGCGGAGCCATGGAGGGTAAGGTCAGCTGAGGCCACGGGTGCTGGGTCTCAGAGCCTGATGGAGTGTGGACAAGACAGCGGTCAGGCAAGCGGAACCATTCAGAGGTTTGCATGAAGGTGCCCAGCCCCAGGGAGGGAATTGGGGGCCTTTATCTTCTATCTCTCTGCCCCCAGAAAAGCAGACTTCCTCCAGTTTCAGGGGTCCTGGGGGGCCCCCTTTTCAGTGAAAACTGCTTCCTTCCAAAGGCACAGCTCTCATCTTCAAAATCGCCCTTATTGTGCATTGTAAATATCGCTGAAACTCACATTTCAATGGCATTTTGTGCCATTTCTTAGAATGCCTTGAGTGGGTGCGCCATGACTGAGGTGAGCAAACTCAGCAGGAGTTCGGAGCTGTCAGGGACGGCCCTGCACAGATGTGTCCTCCGTTCTGCTTCTCGTGGCCACACTAACCGGGGCTGACGTTGCATTAATAGGACTTCACATTAATTAGTGAACCGTGACAATGAAAGCCAGTTTTGTTTGATAAGGACACCGTCAGCATGGGAGGCTTTTGGCTGCGCTGTGTGAATGTGTCAGGTCTCACTAAGAGGTGGACCGGGGCTGATCTGCCCCTCGGTAATAGGACGGCCCTGGGGAATCCACTGTTTCCAAACACACCGAGCAAGGTCCCTGTTGGCTTGGCTGACTGTGTTCTGTGGGTTAGAGACCTGAGTGGGGACACCACATCTGACCTTCGTCCTCCTTGGCTGTAAGATGGATGGACTGTCCTATGTGATTGAGTCCTTTTCCTTGGACTCTGTTTCCTGAACCCCCTGCCAAGCCCTGTCACCTCCTCCTTCACAGGCTCTGCCTTGGGACAAGAGCAAGAGGGTCCATCGACGCCCAGGAGGCAGAGGCCTGTGACCCACAAAGCCCTGGAGGGCCTGGCTGGTGTAGCTCAGTGGATTGAGCGTGGGCCTGCAAACCAGAGGATTATGGTTCGATTTCCAGTCAGGACACATGCCTGGGTTGCAGGCTGGTTCCCAGCAGGGGACACATGAGAGGCAACCATACATTGATATTTCTCTCCCTCTCTCCTTCCCTTCCCCTCTAAAGATAAATAAATAAAATCTTAAAAAAAAAGCCCTGGGGGGTAGTCCACTGGGGCTACCTGAGCCTCTGCTTAGTGGCCGCTGCCAACCTCCAGGATGGCCGCTTGCAGCTCACTGAGAGTCTGCAGCACCTCACTGCCTAGGCAGGGGCCAGAGAAGGTGGAGAAAGTTTAAGAGAACCGAAAGCATGGATGAAAAGGAGGCCGCATGCTGAACCGGACACGCGGAGGGGGGAGGCCTGCGTGGTGGGTTCGAAAGTAACCACCGAGGATGGACTGAATGCACAAGTCCCTAACTGCCAGGGAGTCACAACGGTGGGCAGCCCCACAGCTTCCCTGGCAGAGGTCAGCCTTCACCTCGGGGGGGCTGTCCCTCGTCTCAAAATCCCCTTTTCTGGATCCCTCAGGGCACAGTCTCCCACCAGAACGGGACAGGGGCCCCTCACTGCTATCCTGTTGCCCAAGCAGCACCTCTACATGCTGCAGATGGTAACGAACTCTCCTGCACCAGAGGATAAAGGAAGCATGTAAAGAAGTGTAATGTGTCTCTTCGTTTTACTTCGTATCCGATCCCTGAGATTTCCTGGCTCTGTTCCCCCCTCCCCCTCACTAAGCCACCACCAGTGGACTTCATGTAACTGCCCTTTAGGTCTCCTCCTTTCATTCTAACGTATAAGATAAGTTGCCAAACTGCCCTTCTCTGGTGCATTTTCTCAGTCCCTTGAGAATTTTGCTTCCTGGCAACCGTCGTCAGTTTAGTTCAGACAAACTCAAAATAATTCTCTGCAGCTTTGGACACTTTTTACGTCCACAAAAGTAAAAACATAATAATCTGTGGGATGTTCCTGAGGCCCCTCCGTCAAGCAACAATCTGCAGAGCTGAAGAAGGACAGTGAAATTATTTGGGGAGAAAACACAGACGGTGGGTGACCGACCGTTCATAAAGTTCCCAGAGCACCATATCATTAGTTCTAGGTACCTTTAAAAAGTCATGTCAAAGATTAGCTACCTCATGGAGCCAAGTGATCACACATTTCACAGCCACAAGTGGCTGGGGTGGGCCGGAATCCCACCCCACCCCTGTGACACCTCCATTTCTTCGTTGACAAAGTGTTGAGCCTCAACCTAGGCCAGAGCGCACCAGGCGCGACTGCGTGTATGAAGCAGCCAGTACGCAGACTGGCCCCTGGTCGTTGCCTAGCGACTGTGAGTGTCCATCCTTGTTGGAGAGATAACAGAATGGAAAAGGCGAGTCTTCTTCATAAGAGAAGGCCTGAGAGGAACTTACGCCAACTACAGTATAAAAAGGACAGGAAAGGTGGCCCTTTAGTTTAGAAAGTGGTGATGAGGAAAGTCTAACACAGCAACAAGCTGCCAGCCACCAGGAAGCGGCTCCTGACACCCAGGCCCATGGATGACTTGAGACCCAAGCAGAGACTCACATCGAGAATCTCCTTGTTGGCTTTCGGAGATGTGGCTTCTCTCAATTCCTTGATGGCCACGGGGATTTTGACCTTCTCGCCTTCGGGGATCCAGAGCCCCTACGAGGGAGAGAGAGGGAAGACATGAACTGGGAGTTGTTAGGCTGTGCCCCGTGGGACTTCGCTAGTGACACTGTCCTCTAGGGGCCGGGACCAGGAGCTCAGCCCTGCACGCCAAGGCCACCAGTGCGGAGGGTTACCACAGCACAGCGGCCCTTTATCTATCACATCCCACGGATCAGAGCAGTTAGATAAATGCCCGAAGCTCGTGACAATGATACCATCAGCATGTGTCACTTCTCCCAGAACTCTCAGACACCGGGTCTAATGGAAATTGGGCTTCATGCAAAGAGGGTCTAGAGAACAGAATGAATTAAGGAGGGGCTGTTCTGACCTGGGCTTTATTCAGATGCTGGCTGTCCTCAAGACCCCTCTGTGCTATCCACCCCTCTAAGAGGTCATGGCCACCCTCTATGGAAATGTCTGTGTCCAAGAGTCCCAGGACCACTTATTTGTCACCATGACTATAAAAGAGTTCCTCTCAACAACTTGGGAGAAATGTTGGAATTTCCCAACCCCTCAGTGACATGAACAGCCGGTGACATAAGCAAAGGGCAGCCCAGGACTCCGGGCTGCTCACCCAGAGCGGGGGGGGGGGGGGGGGAACCCACACGAGTAGGGGTGGGGCTGCGGCCCCAAAGCCCGGGAAGTGTTGGTGCTGTGTCTCTGGCGGCCTCACCTTGTACACGGTGCCGAATGCGCCGGAGCCCAGCACCTTGATTTTTTTGAATTCTGTCTCCTTTAAGATCCGCAGGAGCGCTTGGTTGGGCGCTTCTCCGCTGGGCGTAAGGGGCTCCACGAGCTGGAAGAGACAAGTGTGAGTGAACGTGGGTGGGGTCAGGTGGGGCCAGACACGCGGGGTGGTCAGGCTCCAGCACAGAGAACCCTCCCCGGCCACCTTCTCTGAAGCCCTTTGTAAAAGCCCCAGGTGTCCCTGCACGGAGCCGCCTGGTTCCACAAGTGCAATTCCTATCTTTCTTTCTAGGCCAGTTGGTTGAATTGGGAACATTTGGGGGAGACACATGTTTATGTGGGGGGTTATTTTGGTTGCCTGCCAGGGCCCGTAACACCCAAGCCCATGATGCCACAGTGGCAGGGGGTCTCTCCTCCTGGGAGTGGCTTCTGACACTGCTGGTCACAGGTGCCAGGTGAGGACCGTCCTAGAGAATGACAGAGTCAGGAATAACACCGTTGGACGTAGAGATCAGAAAGGGACAGCCACCGGTGTGGACAAGGGCATTTTCCAAAGTTACTTCTCCTCGACCACAGCGCCCTCCTGGGAAGTCAGGATGTGACTGGGCACGAGGCTTTCCCCTGAGCAAGGACGACACGGGGACGGCCCTTTTCCCAGGACTCCATGTGCCCGTGCTGTGCGACTTATCCCAGAAACACATGCGTTTCACAGCGGAGGAGTGCCAACGTGCCACCCACTGCGTAATGGGATGTGCAGACAGGAAGCCTAAAGATAGTGACAAACATGAAATCCAAAATGTCCACTTGTCTGCACAGGAGAGTCCTTCTTCCTGTCTGGGGTAGTGGGCGTTCCTGGAAGGAGCGGGGGCGGGGCACGGGGGTCAGGGGCCAGGGGCGGGGCGCCGGGGTTGGGCACACTCACCTCGCGTTCCTGGAGCAGCCTCCGCAGCGTGCGCTTCCGGACGATGTGGCGCCTGCGCAGAAACAGGCCCACGCCAATGGCCACCACCACCACCAGGAGGAGGCCACCCACGATCCCCGTGGCGATGGATGGAATATTGGGCCTAGAACGAGGTGCAGACACATGGGAAGATCAGATTTGCTGACAGATTTGCTGACATTTGCATGTTCCGTATTTCCTGCGTGCCTGGATAGACTGACATTATTTAACACTCTCAGAAAGTGGAGTACTGTGCAGCTTCTAAAGGGGGAAGCAAATCTAAGGATTCCGGGCAGCATTTCTAGCTTCTGCCCCCACCCCCACTGGCCGGCTTCTTTGCAGTTTTTAAATGGAGGTGTTAGCTGGACCATTCCACACAATGGTTATATTTTAATCTGTTAAGAAAACACTAATTCAAAAAGTAGCTCAGACCCTTGCCAGTGTGGCTCAGTGGGTTAGAGCATTGTCTTGCACACCAGAAGGTCACCGGTTTGATTCCTAGTCAGGGTGCACACCTAGGTTGCAGGTTCCATCCCCGGTTGGGGTGCGTACGGGAGACAACTAATCGATGTTTCTCTTTCTCTCTTTCCCTTCCTCTCTCTAAAATTAATAAACATATCTAACTCCCCCACCCCCAAGTAACTCAGACTTCAACAACGGTTTTCATGTGAATCTGCGTGAATCTCTGGAGGATCTTGGGCACAGGAAGCAGAGCACACTGCCCTGTGAGACACCCATTGTCCGCTGGCCAGGCTGGGCGAGGGGGCCTCGCACAGGTGCTGAGGCTCCTCCAAGAGTCCTTGGCTTTCCAGATGGGCCACAGCCACAGGAAAGGCTTTAGCACTGGGCTCAGAGGCGGTTATACCGCTATCGGGTTTCACACTGAAAGCCTCGCGGTCACAGATGAGGGCCGTCACCTCGCAGCCTGAAACTCTCGGACGAGCTCGTGCCTGATTTTGGAGAGAACAAAATCTCAAAGCTCTGGTTCTAAAGCTCACTGGGGAGACAGCTGTCTCAAGGAGTCAGTTCTGCATTTACAGTACACAGTTATTATTTGTACATATCTATGCCATTTTAGCTCCTGGCAAACTTCATCTTTTCAGGTAGAAATTTTAACAAGCATTGAAGATGAATTAGTAGCATTACTTGCATGTAAAAAAGTGGGACATTGTTCTTACAAATTTCTCGTAAGTGGGTCAAATTTACTTCATGAAAATGACATGAATGGTCACTTTCCTCTTAGTAAGAGCCACCTCCGGCACCATACCATCTCGCCAGCCCATGCAGCTGGCGTTACTGGGTTTTTACTATTTTGAAGGGAACACTGAAAGATACATAAACGGTTACAGAGTATGTGTTCCCCTTGGATGTAGGGAGGGCGAGGCAATGGGAAGTGAATGAAAAAGCATCCACGTGTCCAAGACGAGCCACCGCCTGGTCCCAGGTGGGGAGGTGACGGCAGTCCTCGTTAGGAAGATGCTCATTGTGGTTTGGGGAGGAGGAGAAAGTTATCTGATCCTTCTTATACTCGCTGAAGAGGCAGGCACAGGAGGAGATCTTACTTCGGAGACACTGCCTGCATTCTTGTCTTGAATGTTTCCCCTTATGGCAGAAGGGGTCCCTTATCATTGCTAATTCAGGGGGCAGAGTGGGGGGAGTCAGCTGACATGGAGAGAGGGATTCTGTAGACATGACTGGAAGCTTGGATAGTGTTGGGGGCTATCGGGACGGCAAACAGGGGTCTAATTCTGATTCCCCTCTGGACATTATAATCAATAATTCCACTCTTTGCTGCGGAGGCTGCACGGGGTGCCCTGTTCTGCTGGTCTCAGTGGCACATTTCAAACGGCGACGGCAAACTAACCCGAATGGAAATGCTGATGGGGGGCTCGCAGACAAAAGGCAGCCTGGGAGGGGGGAAATCTCCTGAGGTGGGAGTTTTGTCACTGAAGCACAGAAAGGTCCCTGATGCACAGGTTTGTGACAGGCCGATGGGGTCAGGGAGGAAGAGAAGCCAGAAGAAGAGAAGGGCCCAACCACACAGGTGCGACAAAAAGTCCCAAGGAGGGTACAAAGAAGGAAGTACCGGGCGGGGAGCAGGGGCCCAGTGGGACCAGCGCTGGGGTGCTGTGCTGGCCCGAGGGGAGGCCCTGACAGGGTGGGGAGCGGTCAGTGAGGCCGCCGAGCACTGGGCTGCTCTGCTGTCGCCCGCTAGACACGAAGAAGCCTCACTTACGTATGTGCGCAGCCTTCCAGACCTGGTCCCACACAGCTGCAGGGACGGAAAGAGAAATACACGTTTTGATCGTTCTCTTTGAGCATTATTTTTCTTGCAGACTTGTTACGAAATCATAAGACAGTCCTATTTTTCACTAACTCACAAGGCCATCCTGCTCTCACCTATCCTCTTAACACAAGAGGAAGCTGCTGTGCAAGTGGTTCAGTAGGACGCCCAAGGTCAGACACGAGTGACTACGGCGGGCAACCTGTGTGCTTGCCTGCCTCTCAGCATCATTAGCTCTCACTGTCTAGTACAAGGTCAAGTTCCTCTCAGCTCATTAAAGCCACGGTGCACCTCAGCTCGGGGGCGGTGGTTCATCACTTGTTTACTGAGCAGCATTGCAGACTGTGTGATCTTCTATGGATTCCAGAATGACAATAAAGATTCCCTGGTGAACCCCAGGCCCCTGGGAAAACGGGCACCTTGGGAGACCTGGCGGGACTGCACCTCATTCCCCTGTCACTTGCTCTGTCTGGTCTGGGCATGCAGACACTGCAGGACAGAGTCCTGTCAGGATAAACTGCGGGAAGCCAAGAGGCATCCCCACTGCCCACCAGCATGTTCTCACCGTGGCCACAACCACGAGGACCCTCAGAACCAATCGACTTCAACACAGAGCTCTCCACGCACCGCCTGGAAATTCTGGAGATGGTGTCCATCTATACATTGGCAAGATAGGAAACCTTTTGCTCTTGAGCGTTTTCTTTTCGGGGGCGGCAGCGTCACTCACCCGTAGGTACAGTTCGGGTGGCACAGGTGACAGACGTGCTGGGCGTCCGTGAACTTCCAGATCAGCGTGTTGTTCTCGCCTATGACCCCGGCCGGGCAGGTGCTGACGCAGTGAGGGCCGTCCATGTAGTGGGCACACTGCACGCACCTGTCCGGCCCCTGTGCCGAGGGGGAGACACGCGTTCATGTGGGTCTCTCCTTCTCTCCAAAGGGGAGCACCTCGGACCTTAAACACTTTCCGTGAAGAAAAGCCGAACGATGCCAAAGTTCTTAGGGCAGAGAGCGCGCTTGTGTGCGGTTGTGCTTGCTGGATGGGGCGACTGGAAACAGCTTAGCATAGAGCCTTGCTGACTTGAAACACACATGATACATAAAAACATAAAAGACACCACGCTGCATAGTTTATGATTTTTGCTAGTGCTTCGTGGGCCCCTGGCCTGGTCAGAACGGTCTTGGCCGGCCTTCATGGGCCTGTGCAGCCCTGCTGGCTGGCTGACTTTCTCCCACAGCACAGTGGGGGCTAAAGGGACGCTCGTGAGAAGCAGACTCGCCGAGGAGAGTTTACAAAAGCCCACGCCCGTGCTGCTCCGTGAGAGGACGGTGGCGAGTAAGGGCAGTGGTGGCTGCCTCATCCGTGGTGGGACGTGGGGTGTTCCACCCCGCCATGCTGACTTCTCACCTACACTCTATAAAACGGCATCACTGAACCTGCAGCGATGACACTGAGTTGTGAAGAGGTCTGCTAGGCCTGTCTTTAAGAATTCCCCGGGAGTGACCCACTCACATCACAGAAGAATGTGATGGTGTTTGATGAAGCGCCTCCGGCAGTGCCGACAGGCGGGAGAGGCAGTGGGAACGGCAGAAGCCGGCCCAGCCACCGGAGGCTCCCGTGTTCTGAGGGACAGCAGTCGGCGTGACGTTGGAGGGTGGAGGCGGGGGCCGGGGGAGCAGGAGAGGCGGGTGCTCAGGCCGGAGGGTTGTGTAAGGACTTTCCCACTCAGTCACAGTCCCTGGGACCCAGTGTGACTGCCTCTCGTCTGGGAAGAGGGCTCAGGTGGCTGTCCTCAGCAGCTACCGGCCACATCGGGCCGGCCTCATGGGTCTACAGCTCTTAAGGCTTTCCCTGGTGACATGCGGGTAACTCGAAACGCGCTCCTTACGTGTCCTGTGCAGGTCACGTTCATGGGCTGCGGCAGGCACTCCGGATGGCACTGTATGCACTGGGAATTCTCCTCAAACTCCCTGGGTTCGCTGCGGGGGGGATGGGGGGAGAGGGAAGAGTTCAGAGTCAACTCGGGCGTCCGGCGGCAGAATGCTGGCGGCTTCCAACTGTTGAACTGGTCTCCCTGACAGTGCAGCTGACACAAGTCACCTCTCTCAGGAAAGCCGCAACAGTTCTGGGGAAAAGTCAAGTGGTCAGGACCTGGGACCCTTCTGCAAGCTGCACTGCTCAGTGTTGCTTGAACACAGGACAGAAAGTAACCAGGGGATGTAACTCCTCTCAGTGTAGGTGGACACCCCAGGAATGGCACGGCAGGAAGGACAGATGGAGCAGTCCTGGCCTTGGCCCTGCACACGGCTCGTGGCGGCTCTGTTTGTCCTGGGAACTCCGCTCAGCTTAGAAAATTATAAGGTAGATCCAGAAAGAGAGTCCGTAAATTATTACATTCGATTCAGTATTGAAAAGAGTTTGTTGATTTTCTTTTGTGATTAACAGGTGGCAATAGACAAAAAACAAAGGAAAAGGAAAAAAAAGGAAAAGACTCAAACCGAATGACTATAAACCCATTAAAATGATCAGATCCTAAGTCTTATCTTCTTCGTCAAACAAAGGGATTAGGAAATAGTGCCTCACCCCTCCAGAATGTTGCATTTCTCCACACACTCCTTGTTATTGCTGACGTTTCGGCAAGATATGCAGTCCCCAGGTCCTGGGCCCCAACACCCCTCGGGCGAGCACAGCGGGTTGCAGACGTGACCTTGGGCCCCTGAGAAGACAGCACAGTGGCCAGTGCGGAATAGTGACCAGAGAAACTCGCTGAGACAACATTTGTAGATGAGGTGCTGAGCTCTCTGGGCGCGTCCCCGGGCTGACGGCAGGGTACCTTTCCCCCAGGGTGCGGGGGCGCTTGGACTAGAGCTGGGCGGTGCGCTGCTGACCCATGCCACAGCCGATGCTGAAACAGCAGGGGAGCTGTGGGCGAGGTCGCTTGCCTCGTGCTAGGTTGGCAGAGGGCCATATGCTGCACACACGGAATTCCCTGTCATTCTCTCAGCCTCTCCAGGCTGTGGGAATCCTCGTTCTCTCCATTTCACAAGTCAGGGAGGCGGAGCCTAAAGGGAGGCAGGAAACCGACCAAGGTCTGCGAGCAGGGGTGTGAGCTCAGATCTGCCTTGGCCAGGGCCAGGCCTCAGCACGCGGGGACCTGTCCCCAGCACAAGGGGATGGCACTGGACTGTGGCTTTAAACGCAGGATGAGAAATGTCAGCGCGAAACGCGGGCTCTGCCGCGTGCACGCACGAGTGTACGAGTGTGTCTGTGTGTTAGCCTCAGCCATGAGAGACCAAAACGAGCAGGCAGGAGCCCATACCTGAAAGGTAACCTAATTCCAAGTTTGGTTCTGTACAGTCCAAACAATAGACAACCTACAGCACCAGGCAAATCTGCCCTACAAGATGAGAATGAGTTAGAAGCAAATCTGATGAACCTCACAGGGCAAAGTCACAGCTGGGAGTACATGGCTTTCCTTTCGTTGGCTTCTTTAGGGAGGGAAAAAAGTAATGTAAATTTTGCAAATGGCCCCGCACTATTCTGCCTCAAAATAAGAGACGTATCATCGATTCGCAACTAGACCTAAGTGGTGACTCACGGCATTCTGCACTGTCTTTGTTCTTCTCGATCTTGATTTTCTGATTCGAGGTCCCAAAGAGCCTTTTCCAGTTCACCGTGTCTGCGTAGCACAGGTGACGGTTCCCTGTGATGACCACATCGCCATCGCTGACCTCCTTCAGCGAGCGCAGACCCAAGGACGTGATGTTCAGCCCAACCACCGCGAAAGAAAACCGGCCACTAAGTTGGAGAGAAGAAAACTAACATTGTAAAAAAAAAAAAAACAAAACAACCAAATTACAAAACCATAACACCACTAAAAGATTTATTTTGTTTTTTTTCTGGACCACTTTAGCTGTACTGCTTTCTATGGCCAAAGGTATGTACTGTAACTTTTGAAATTTCCAAGCGTCTTTTCAAGTTCCTCCTGGGAGAAGCTGATTCCTTGTTCCTTCATTATCTTTAATCCCAGGGGCTGACTAAAGACTGAACAAAAGTCTTCATGTCATTATTTTATTTACTGCATGTTGACTTTGCCTGGGGATCGAGAACATGTTTTAACCTCTCAAACAACCAGGCTTCGCAAGTCACAGGTTCATGATCGGGCAGGTCCCTGTAGTGTCTTTGTGATACTTGCCTATGTGCATCTGATTTTTAAACAAAAGCACTAGGAAGGGTGCCCCAGGCGGCTGGGCCCACTTACTGCTGCTTCGTCCTGCCGCGTATGATTTCCAGGTTCGCAAACGCGTGCAGGTCCGTCCTGTTTTCTGGCCAGGCCTGAATCAGCAGAGACCCTGGGAGACAGAGGGGAGGCTCAGACGCATGCTGCTTATAGGAGCCACATGAGCAGGGCATGTGAGCATTGGACCTGATGCTTTTTATCGTCTTCGCTGAGTGTGTGCACACACGTGTAAATGCCGGCCAAGGCTTCAGGGTACTTCCTGCCCCTGCCACAGAGTCCCGGCCACCCACCCCACCCCGAGGGCCATCCTGGTGGGTCGCCCACAGCAGGCCTGGCTGGGCCCCATATTTGATGATTCCAAGCAGGCCCCTGATACCGAGGGTAGCTGTGTATCGAATGTTATCACAAACATGGACGCGGACATAATTTTCTTACTTAATTCAAATCCTCAAAACAGTCTTGTTATTTAGGTTGAATTATTCCCTTTTTAAGAATGAAGGAAGCAGGGCTTTGATGGGAGTCACACACCCGAGTGGCCTGCCAGGGGGAGCAGGGATGTGGAGGTCCCTCCCCAGGTTATCCCCTTCTCCCTCCACTCAGGGAAGTCACTGGGCCATGGGCACAGCTGGCCTGGGGTGGGGACGACAGGTTAATTGCATTCATACATAAAAGTCATCCATGGCCTGCATCTTTGTGTGTTGCGTTTGCCCCTCACGTGCAGGGGACACTAGATTGTTGGAAAACAGGGGACACTAGTTCAAGAACTCAGGAGTCACTCTGAGAGGATTTCAGAGGAATGGCGTCCTGCCAAAGACGAAAACAGGGCCACACGCTGTCTGCAAGCCCTGCTTCCCCTCTAGGGCCCCGCGAGTGCCGGGCGGTGCCCACCTGTGATCTCCTTTACAGTCTTGAGAATGTCCAGCTCCTTGGGGTCCAGAGGCTGCGTGTGTGTGAAGGAGTCGCTGAAACGAGTCACAGAAGGGTTATCTGTCACCTGCCTCTACCTTTCAGCAACGCTGAGCGCTTGCAGCCCGAGACGCAGCCTGTGACTCACCCCTTAAAAGCTACCGGCAGGATGTGGAGGTCCCCGCTGATGGACGTGCAGTTCCGGAAGTATTTGATGTTTGTGGCGTTTATGGAGAGGGTGTCCTTGAACTCTCCGGTGCCTATTCCGTTACAGACTGTGGAGACAAGGCTGGCGTTAGTCCCGCTCACGGGTGCCGACTTACGCCCGGCTCTAGTGGGAGCGAGTGGGAGCCTGAGAACCATCCCACCAGACAGACTGCCAGCCCTTCACTCAACAGACACTGACGGAGGGAAGAAGGGGGGCGGCCGGCGGGTGGCTCTTCGTGAACGAAGAGCACAGAGATGGGACATTCTAATGCAACCTGAGAGGCTTGATCGAATGCTGGGTGGAAATTCAGCAACAAGTGACTTCCTGGGATTGTGGGGAGAAGTGCAGATTCCCCCAAACACTGGAGAAGGGCAGTGAGCGGACAGCCGTAGGGGTGGGAAAGGGGATGAGATCGGTAATCCTCACCAGGTGCCGGGGGGGAAGCACACACACACACGTGTACACACGTCACAGAGACATGGAGGCACTGTGGCAACGCAGGGAAGCTCGGGGAGTGTACGGGAAGGGCGCATGCGTGCTCCGTGTGTGAGTCATGTGCTGTTTCGAGGTATTTCCAAATTTATGAAATAAAAAATAAAGGGTAAGGACTGATGACATGGCCCGGACGGTACCCCCAGGCTACAGCACAGTTGTAAAGGGAAGAACAGATTTCTGAGCCTGGAGAAAGGGATTGACTCAAATCATTCCTAAGGGCTGCGAGGAGCTGGCGGGCGCAGAAGAACCTGTCCCCCCGCCCCCCGTCCCGCGGGCTGGGCTCCTACCTTTGCGACAGGGCCCTTCGCACTTTTTACATTTGCGGACGCCGTCTTCCTCCACCTCATAGCTGTCCGAGCCGCAGGCCCGGACACATGACCCGTGGTCGGTCACCACGTAGTTACCTGCAGGAGGGACAAGGAGAGGCAGGTGGTGACAGGGGCACCAGGTGGCTCGGGTGTGCGTGTCCCTCCTGAAATGGGGCTGACGACAAGGGCCACTCGTTCTCTCATCGTGTTTAGTTTAAGCACAAAGAATAAAAGGCTGCAAACTGAAAAGCAGGCAAGTTCAAGAGTTTTAATAGCTTTCCAGAGTGTGATGTGGAAAATAGAGCTATTTCATCGCAGGCAGGTGACAGATGTGTGGGAGAGAAAACACTGTGCTCACTCCTAAGCTTAGAACTTGTTTTTACAGCTTTTTCAAAAAGTTATCTATACAGGTTTTACTCTCAGGACTCATGGTTAAAGCTCGGCTACTTATTAAAAACACGTGCCCCTAAACAAAGACCACACTCTTCCATCAACACTGCTACCCTTGAGGTCCCGTTTCACTCCCGGGGCCCCCGCTGGCCCTGCATGGCGCCCTGTGGCCGGCGGGGCACTCGGGCCAGCTGGACACACCGGTCCTTGCCTCGCCTGCCCTTGCCCTCGCAGTAACCTATTCGTGTCGATTGCACACAAGTATTAATATTCTCAGGGGCTGTCTGAGCTCCTGCTTCGGCCTTGTAGATCCTCGAACACAGCTCCCAGACGTCCGTCATCTTTCTTGCGAATCGTCTGTCTTTGTTCTCTTGGGCTCCGTGTGCTTTCCTGGGCTTCCAGCCACGTCTTAACCCTTCTCTCAGAGAGTGTACCCGTGTCACAACCGTGACCATTTTTTCTTTGTCACTTGCCTTGCAATGGCTTATCATTCTATTTGTGTTATTTTTTTCTGCACAGAATTTAAAACTTTTCATCTCTGCTCATCTATCTGGTAGGGCAAACTCTCCCTTGGTTGTTGTTTTCAGAAGTTTTTTTCTTTGTTCATTTCCCCTCTGAGAAATCAAGATCGGTCTCTAAAGCTTGTTCGTTAGACAACCCTGTGCTTTTTCTGTGAGGACGTGATCGGTGTCAACATTACTGCAAATGCTGTTGCCACCAGTGCACGGCAAATACAGGTGAGCAAAACCCAGTAATCAAACCAAAACCAACAAACAAACAAACAAACAAACACCCCATACAGTTCTCCTAAGTGCACAACTTTCACCAGAATTCTTTCCACTCAGGAAGGCAGGTCTCCCGACACACTCCCTAATACAGGTTATTAAACACCTGTTTGGAGCAAGAGCCGGACAGTGAAGGACCCAACGGCCATGGGTTTGCACCTATTGGACAGCTGAATGCTCTGGACTCCTCCAGCTGGACCTTGGTTCCGGGGGCCGCACCACAGGGCTGTGTCCTGCCCTGGCCGCCCCAGCACGAGGCACCCAGTGAGCAGAGCGGCAGCCACCGCTGTCACCTGTGGCAGCGACTTACTCCTCATCTGCCCCTGACAGGCCGGGGACACGCCCGGCCATGCGGCAAACACATCAACCCGCCACGGGGCCTCACGGGCTCCCTCAGGGACTCGGGGAATTGTGGCCTGATTGTGAAAGGGTGACGGACTCACGGGGACACTTCTTCACACAGGTGGCTCCAAAGCTGTATTTCCCGTCTGGGTTGACGTCCACCTGGTACGTGGTGGGGTTGTACAGCATGAGTGGCGGGCAGGTGTCCTTGCACGTGGCTTCATCCCGGAACTTCCGGCACACCTGTGCGAGAGGGAATGCGAATGGGGACCTGATACGAGGCGGAGCCAGAGCCGCCACCAGAGGAACAGCCTGGCCTGTCTTCTGCCTCGAACCTTTGTGATGTTCGGCAGGCACCACAGCTCTGGGTGGGGCCCAACGCAGCACAGGACTATTAGCAAGGGTGACAAGGACGGAGATGTTATGACCACTCGGCTGAAAATTAGAAACACGGTTTAAAATTAGTGTCCCTATGTTCGCTCTTCTGCACAACCCCAACGCCTTCCTGCCACGGACGTCACTGTCCCCTTCCCTGTCTCGCAAACACTCCTCGCCTTGGTCTCCCCGTTGGAACACTGTTTGGGCTTCTGCCTGAATCGGTGCTTCCCGAATTGGTGCTTGTTTTTTGACCCGAAATAAATGCTTGTTGCCTCTCCCTTTGAAACCGTATATTTTTAGCTTGATGCTTGTCATGGGGGGATGACACGCAGGGGTAAACTGAGGAAGGGCCTCAGTTACTGTTCAGGTATTTGGTTGCAGCAGAAAAATCTAGTGAAGTGTTTTCAGGAGCCTCAGAAAGACCTTTCTCCTAAAAGCACGGTTTTTCTTAAATACACTGTCTGAACGATGATTGATTATGCCGATAGGAAAATACGTGTCTTTATTATCTGACGAAACGACAGAGGAGTTCATCCACTGGGGCGGGAACTAAAGAGGGGCATTATTTTTAAACTGTTTACCCGGGGTTTTCTTTACCAGAACACCTGAGGCCACCTGAGAGTTGATCGCCACACCGCAGAGGACCCTGAGCAGAGACATGCCACTCGAAAGGACCAGCCTGATGCCTCACGTGCCCGAGTCAAAACACGGGCGGTGGCTGCGGCCCTTGGAACTCAAAAACCTCTCCCTCCCCAGCTCCAGCGACCTTGGGATTCCACTGCAGGCTTGTCCAGAAGCCACGAAGATCTTGCCAGCATCCTCGGCGCTGACCCCAGGACTCCCCAGGGGCAGCCCATCGGGCACCCACAGCCCGCTGGGACAGCCAGTCTCCTGGGGACGCCCCCTGCAGCCACAGGGACCAAAACAAGAGCTTTAAGACCCCAGGTGTGTGAGGGGATGCAGGCAGGCGGCCCCTGAGCCGTGGGGGAAATGGCGGGGCCACTGGGGCCGAAGACCCCTCTCGAGATCTCTGTGCGGCGGGATGGGCCTCCCCTTGCCTCTGTCTGTGTCTCAGGGCCCCTGCGGTATCAGCTCCCTGCGCTCGTAAGGAGAGGTCGGTTAAAGAGTAAAGGGTGTGACGACCATGGCCACAAACGCTGTATGGCAAATAACTCGTACTTAGTCTCTGGTGCTCATTCCGTGCCCAGGGCCACCTGCGTTCCGTCATTTAGACCTCATAACACCCAGGTACTCTATTACCTGTCACTGTCAGGGGAGGACACCAATGCACAGAGAGGCTGTAGAACTTGCCCAAGGTCCCAAAGTTAGTGGGGAAGGCAGGACAATAACAGGGGCTCTGTCCCCTGCTGAGGGGCAATGCCCCTGTCTGTCAGGACAAGTGTTAATCTGCACATCACAACCCCTGGAGGCCGCCCAGTGTGGCTGGGGCTGGGGGGAGGGAGCAGCACCTGGCGACCGAGGGCTCGCCACCAGGGGGAGGGGGCTGGCAGGAAGGGGGTCTCACCAGACAGTCGCTCTCGCGGGGCCCCGTGCAGCCGGACGCGCACTGGTTGTGGCAGCAGTCGCTGGGGGATTTGCCACGGCAGCGCCCCGAACACTGCTCTGCGCAGATGATTTTGGTCACTGGAAAGGAGCAGAAGTCGCAGGTGAGTGGAAGAGCCAGGGTGACAGGGAGTCACGCCCCAGGCACCGCGGAGGGCACTTGCCCACCGTGGGTGAGGCAGTGACCGGAAGGAGACACTTAGTGACTCCGCCTGTGGCTTGTTCAAGTCCCCAGACAGGCCTGTTGGGCCAGATTCCATCAAACTGTGACTTTTCTTTCTGGTACCTCTGCTTTTTTTTAATCCCATTTGTTTTCAATCACTTAGGAGAACTGACCAGGTCAAGCCTGGACATTAAGACCTGCTAAATAATTAAATACTTGTCAGAATTAACTGAGTTTCTGGGTGATACAAAAGCACATACAAATGACAAAAATGCCAGCCAGGAAACAGGGTTTAAAGGGACGTGGCGGCCACGTCATTGTGGCCAGGCGAGGCTGTCCGTCACGGACAGGCGGTCAGCTATCGAGCTGCCCTGTCCTGGGCCCCTTGGCCATTGGTGCTCCAGCACTCGGCGTCCTGCAGGAAGACCCTTCTGAAAAAGCTGCTCATACGTCTGCGTAGATGGGTCCGCAGTGGGGGGGTGGCCAGACTAGCCTTGTGTCCCCAGGAAGACCTGCCAAACGCGCTGACCAGCGGGAGTGGCCGGCAGCTGCGGCTGAGGTTCTCTTGTTCATGACTGACCGGCCGGAGGGCCCAGAATAGCCGGCCCGGCTTGTTCGCCTCCGGGGGACTGGCAGCACCAGCCATCCACAGGTCTGCTCAGGTCTGGCCCTGAGATCGAGGTGCCTCTCGGAGCCCCTGGTGGGAAAGCACCTGAGTTCAAGGGGAGGGGCCCCTGCGTGTGTCTGAAGGGCTGCGCACACTCACGTTTCTGGCAGTTCTCCTTTCCCGCACCCCAGCAGCTTCCGTTGGGGCAGCTCGGGTCACACTTCTGGCCTGAAACAGAAGAGTGGCCGATCAACCCACGTTTCGGTGACAGGGACACATGAAGACAGACAGGTGACCCCCTCCCTGGGCCCGGGAGCCAAGCGGCGTTCCAGAAATGAGGAGTAGCTTTCACGCTTCTTATTCTCTGTCCCTCTGTTTGCTGGGTCTGTTTGTGGGGTGATGGGAAAGACTCTCATAAGGAAAAAAAAGTGGAACCACGGGCTGCGTTGATTTCCACGTCAGCCTCGGAAACTGAGGCAGAGAGAGGTTATTGACTTCACGGCCCACAGGACTGGGATTTAAATGGATCTAGGTCCAGACGTCAAGTCTGCTTGGGCGTGGGGAATTTTCCAGCACCTCCCTCAATGCTGAGAGTATCTACCCTGGGGGGGGGTCGGCATGCACCCCCTGCAGCCCTGCAGTGTCCACTCGTGGGGTGGGGGGTGGGTCAGGCATCCTGGGGGGTTGGGGTCCAGTAACTAAAAGCCCCCGGACTCTTAGGCGGAGAGAGGCACAGACCCCTGTTCAAAGGGCCACTCGTCCTCTGTGGGCCTCGCTTGGCTGATGACCTAAAACCTCAGCTATTGATTTGCACAGGACTGTCTGAAAACATTCCCGACAAATCGATCGGTTTTACAGTTTTCATAATCAGTGATCGACCACAAGTTACAGCTGCAGAGGTGTTTGATCTTGTTCGCTGCAGTTTGCTTTTATCAGCATTGGGAAATCTGAAGGTTCCAGGGTCCTATCTATGGACAGAAAGCAGGCGGACCACCTGCTTTGGTAACAAGGGGTCTGCCCCCCAGTGATGACACAATCACCTCAAGGAGCTAGTACGTGCCCCACAGTCTCCCACAGTTGGGAAGAATTTCGTTTCTGGAAGAACTCAGATGTTAAACGGTGAAGAGCTGATGCTACACCGAGGGACTATCGACCCTGGACACCCCGTGAGTATGACCGACACTTCTCACAACCGCCCCCAGGGGTGAAGGGCATGAACACCATGCTGGTGCACCTCAGAATCGGGCAAGACGGTGAGGCTGGACCCTAAGCGGACAGGGCTTGAAGGGAGAGCGGCCGAGGCAGACAGGCTGAGAGAGAAAGAAGCACAGAGAAGAAATGGCCCATGTGACACGGAAGAATGTTCAAAGTGACTATGTCTGTGTAGAGCTACCGCATTATTTTTACTTTTTATCTTTACCATAGTTTTCAAATTTCTATTATATACCGGTGAGAGGTTTACACAGGAAAAGTAGTGAGGATGACAATGCTCAACAGAGTCTCTCTGACAGAGAGGAAGACATGTGCCGGCCAGTGAATTCATGTCCTGCCTCTAGTCCTGCTCTGTCTCAGACAGGTCTCTTGCAGGGGGAAGATCCCCTGTCCACTGCCCCTTCTTGCCCTCGGTGCATGGGACCCCCTGCTCATGCGGCCTTCTCTCCCAGCCCCCACCCGGCGGCCCTGCCCTGCCCTGGCAACTACTCACAGCTGCCGGAAGGGCTGTTCTGAAAGTCCGTGGACATGTTGCCCAGGAAGTTGTCGTCCACGATGTCCTGCCACTGGATGGTGTCCACGCTGCAGAGGCTGGGGTTGTTGCTGAATCGCACAGCACCGTGCAGGATTTCTGCGTGAGAAAGGACCCCCAGTGAGCCTGCGGCATCTCTGCTGAGCTCACATGAGGTAGGCCTGTGTTTTTTCCAGGTTGCCTTCTGCTAGAAAGATTCCAGCGAGCACAGGAGCACCATCCCCACTCCCCACCCCTGGACTTCAGTGGGGGCAGGTGGGAAATGAATTTGGAACTGAGCATAGAGGAGTTAGGATTTCCCCTGGGCCTTTGAACCACAAACAAGCAGAATGTAGAACTTCGGTGGGGAAGGGAGTGCCTGCCTGAGTCGGTAGGCACAGCACAATGATGGGCATGTGGTGAAATGCTCATTCCCAGGCGGCTGATCCAGGCTGCCCTGGAATGACCGTAGGATATTGATTTGAAGGGGCAGATGGGGAACAAAGGGTGATGGCAATCGTCAACACGGTAGGGGGGAAATGCCAGGTGCGGTGGTGATGCTCGTGGTGACTTTGAAGCCATTCAGGGGGATGGGGTGTGACAGTGACCAGGATCAAGAAGAATCTGTGTGTATGATGATATGATGGGGCAAACACCAGGGATACAAAGGATGTACAGGACTGAAGGAGTATTTCCAAGGAAGAAGTGACAGGACATGAAAAATCAGGGGTGATGAAGAAGTGGCAAAGCCAGAGCAAAGGGTGAGTACGGCAGCAGCAGCATGAAATGTACCAGGAACTGAATGAATTAAGTGCACAAAATACTGTAGCCAGTGCTGTGGAGTCAGCAATTAAGTGCACAAAATACTGTAGCCAGTGCTGTGGAGTCAGCAAGACTGAGCCTGCTCTGCTGGCTTCTGTCTGAGGATGGGCACGGGAGGACAGGCAGGGCGCACAGCTGGCGGGCACGTGCCCACAGAAGGGCACAGCACGTGATTTACGTGCATTATCTGAATCCTCGCAATGGCCCTGTGACTGCCACACACCAAATGCAGGTGCATAAGTAGTGCCTGGCATCCTGCAGGCAGGGATGGAGGCACCTGCGCACCAAGCAACAATGTAGAAAAGGAAGGGTTCTCCCTGGAAAGACCTCGGAGGCTGTCGGAGAGACTGGTGCTTCCGGGGGCGTGGACAGGTGTGGACATGGTGGGGTACTGTGGGTGTCAGGCAGACAAGATGGGGCAGGGATGGAGGCTGGGCTGGGGGGCAGTTTCTTTAGTGGAGGGAGGAGAATAAAAGAATCAGAAAGGTGGGCTGGGAGCTGGGAAGGGCCAGATTGTGGAGCTCCGGATGCCCAGCCAGAGGTGCAGTGGGTCCATCCGGTGAAAGCATTCTCTTGGGAGGGGGCCAGAGTCGAGTGCATGAGCGCTTTACGGCAGGTGGGAACTGAAACTGCAGAAGAGGGGTGTCAAGGGTGCCGTGACAATTTGGGCAACAGACCACGGCGCCAAGATGGAGGGTGGAGGTGGGGCCTCACGGGATGCCTGCCCTCGGCATGTGCGGGAAGGAAAGGGAGGTGGCGAGGCGCTGGGGACTCAGGGGTCCCCGCCGGGCGGCCGTGAAGAGAAAGAGGTGATCCTGAGGCGGTTGTTCTTGTGTATTTACTTCCAACGAGGGGTGACTCTCCCTCTGTGGCTGGCACTGGGCTAATCACCAATGTCAAATAATTGACCCTGAGGAATTATTTAATAACATTAATTTGAATTTATACAACATCAGTGCCAATGACAGAAATAGTGCCAACAGTAGAAATAGGGCGTAAGTGCTTTCTCCACAGTAATTCACTCAACTGTCTCAACAACCCTAGGATGGGTGTCGCCACGGTCACCTGCATTTTGCTGATGAGGGGACTGAGACACATAGGGAACCCACTGCAGGGTGTCTGGCTGGTGAGGGGTGGAGCCGGGGCTCTGAGGAAAAGGCATGGTGTTCAGTGACGTTATCGATTTAACTCACCCGGGACTGTCCCTGCCTCACAGTGAAAGCACAATCGTTGTCATGTTCAATTTAAAAAACCCAACTTCCCACCTGTTGGGTCACCTTCCATCACGTCCTGCCACAAGACCCACACTTGTGTCCCGGACACAAGAGCTCGATCTTCCCCTGCGATGCCTTCATCCCTTGCCCAACTCCAACGTGGCTCTCCACTCGTGTCCCTTACACCTGCGGCCCAGGTAATGAGACTGGTGGTTTATTCTCTTCCCTGGGTACAAAAATTCTGGTCATACCCTCTTTTCCCCAGACCCTTTGCCATTTCTTACTGACTCTTGGGACATTTCCCCGTGGACATGGGGTGACAGGCCCCTGGGTTCCACCTTCCCTTCCCGTCTCATTGTTCACCGCCTTTCCCAGCGACTTCCACCTGCCGCATCTTGCACGCGGCTGACACGCAGTGCGCTTGTGTTGGGTGAAGGGGAGTCTCCCTGAGTGGAGGTGAGGAAGCGGGTGGCCCTCCGCGTGCCCAGCCTCCCCGGGCCCGGCTCTCACCCTGCAGGTTGCGCATGGGCAGCTCCCGCAGCCCCGTGCGGTTGGGCCCGTAGTTGGACAAGACGGACAAGGCGTGGGTGTTCTCCAGGAGCACGTTTCCTCTGATGATCTGCAGGTTTTCCAGAGGGATCTTCTCCGCCACGTTGAGGGCGATGAGGACGTAGCCGGCAACCTCCTGGATGGTCTGCGGAGATGAAACAGGAACGTGCTGTTTCTCCCGGAGGAACTCAAGAACGCCAGGTCTCCGCTGGGCCCCCGGAGCCCAGGACACCCCGCTGAACTACACACACATGGGGTTGACAAGTGCCAAGCCCGTTGGTGGCCACACTGAGGGACGGAAGGTGACAGGGCTGTCGGTCATTCCCGCACGTGCCCCTTGAGCCTGCAGGTGGGAAGGAAGGATGCTGGCGCTCTGCTGCAGCGCTGCGACTCTGGTTCTGCTCAGTGTTCACCACACCCACGTGAGGATGGGAACGCCTTATTAATTTATTTTGTGCCTGTCTTGCCTGTTTTCTCATTAAGAAAATAAACAAAGAAAAAAATCATAAGGAAGCCAATCAAATCTGAAGTTCAATTACTGTCAAACTCTGCAGCCTACAGAGCTGGCTCCTCCTGGCTGGCGAGAGCCCGCTGGGAGCTGCTAGGGACAGTGGTGGGCATTGACTGACCAGCCATGGTGGGGCTGTGTACACCAAGAGAATGGGAAATGCCAAAGCAAGTTTTTTTTTAAAATTAAGAGCCAGTCTACCAGGATACCATGGCTGAAGCCATGGTTAACGAGAGTCCTACTGGCATCTATGGTGACAGGAAAATGCCAGCCTGGCCCATTTCTCTTTGATACTTTTTTAGGCCTTGACACTTTCTGGTAGAGTGGCCTTCTCATTAAACCTGCATCTAGGGCTCCGCAGGACTCGGAACTGCCACAGCAGCAGCAAACCCGCGTCCAGTCCGTTCTGTCCAGGTCTTTCTCTACCTCCCTTTACCTCTCTGACACTTGGGTAAGATGAGTGGATTCACTGAACCGACCTTCAGGAAGGAAAGGTCGTAGTTCCTTTGCATGTAGGTGATTTCCAGGTTTCCCAGGACCACCTGGCAGTTGTTTAGCATCCTCTGGAGGCTCAGGAAGTGGTCGTCTAAAGTGCCCAGCTGCGTCAGCTTGTTGTTGGTCCCCTGGCAAACTGCAAAGAGAGAAAAAGACCCCATGAAATGCCCAGGAAGGAAGCGAAACTGAAATGGGCAAAATTCACAAACTTCCACCGACTCTGTACTTCAGCGACGCACAGGATTAGTTTTTTCTGATCAAGGCAAATGCGATAAAACATGTCCAAGTTTTATAAGGCGCAGTTTATAATTAGGGAGAGCTCGCTTCTGTACTGCATGAACTTGTTTAAACAGGTTACAAATTCAAGGAGACCCAGATGGAATTCCATAAAAATCTCTAAGACAAAATAGCCTGTAAGTGCTTCAGTAGGCAAAATAAATACATATCATAAACCCTATAAAAATAATATAATTACAATGTTGAGTTAATAACGATGGGATGAACACTTTACTTTGCAAAAAGAGAGCAGGCTGCATTATAGGTGTCCAAAGCCTGTTTACAAACATTATGTACCCTGGGCACTCTCTTCTGACCACAGCATCGTCCTGTCGAAAGTCCACAATGAGAGTGTCGATTAAAACCCAAATGGCTGGAGATGGAAAATACTCTTCTAAACGATTGCCTCAGAAAACAAACGGGAGGTCTAATTCCACAAGACTTAGTAGATAACAAAAGGAAAATACACTTAAAAACGGACACAGCTCCGGAGAAACGCACAGCCCTGCTGTCTACTCTCCCTCCGCATGAGGCCTGCAAAGCGGGGCTGCCCCGTCGGCACAGCCTGGGTGCCCTCAGCTCCCTCACATTTGAAGGTATCAAAGTTAATGCAAGAAAACACAGACAACTAGGGGACCAAGTTAGCCACGTGGTAGTCTGTATTTCAAAGTGAAGGAGAGGATTATAATAAAGCCACATTTACAGACCCAGCTCTTTAAAAGACAGGTTCTGGCAGGCATCTCAAAACACAAAGAAGCTGGGGGCTTTGAAGCAGGAGCTTGCTTCGGGACTACACTTTGAACCAAGGTGATCATCAGAGTGAAGAAATAGGGCCTCTGGCTTTGGAGTGTGATCCAGAACCGGCTGAGTTCTTCCCAGTCTGCAAAGGCAGGACCGTGATCTGTAACCAGGTGGCTGAGTGCAAAGACAAGGCCAAAGTCAACAGGCAGGGACTTTCTTCAGGAGCTCTTTCTAAATTCCCTTGCTCTTTTACAGGCTTCTCTGGTCCCTCCTCACGGGAGCTGTGTGACGAGCACCGTCCGATGCTTGCCTTGGCTTCTCAGTGTCGCGGTGCCGCAGAGCGAGAGTTTGGACGCTGCGGAAGCAGCCCCCCGCATTCACACCGACATCGGGGGTGAAGCAATCCGCACCTCCTCTCCCACCCTGTGGGGCTCTCTGTCTCCTGCCCTGCCAGGGTCTCATTCTAATTCAGTGGTGGAGAAAACTCTCGCACTGGAGCTCTGCCAGTCGGCAAGATGGAACCCCGGGTGGGCTGGCTCCAGGGGCGGAATGGCTTTAATTCTTCCACCCTCAACGTGGGAGCAGCCCGGCGTCTCCAGGCTGCTTCCACCCCGGAGTCCAGGCTGCTTCGATCTCAGCCTCAGGTGGGAGCCATTGCATCCAGTTGGTGGCAAGGTGTGCAGACGGGGCCAGACAGATTTCCCAATTCCGAGGTCCTTACAAATGCCACCGCAGATGTGGGCACAGGGCTGTGACAGTAACCTGTGATCTCCCCACCACTACACCTGGAAACAGACCCTGCTGTCCTGGCCAGGAGACTGTGCTCTCTAAATGTCAACCTAACAAATGGGCTACGGTCTCGGTCATCACAGTGTGGGTCACGCCCTCACACCAGCTGGCTGGACAGTGTGGACTAGAACTTGGGGTTGTGGCACGTTTCAGAAGAGGCTCCTTCAGCACACAGAGCGATGAAAATGACAGTCGTTGCTCTCATCTGAAATGATCAAGGATGTCTGCTTGTTCATTCCTCTCAGCTGAACCAAAGGATGATTATTATTAAATCAACCGGGAAGCAACTGGTGGCAGTAAACAATGAAAACGTGCCATTTAAGTTTAGCCTATTTTATGGGTTGTTTATTTATTTAAAGATCCTATTCATTTACCCTTAGAGAGAGGGGAAGGGAGGGAGAAAGAGAGGGAGAGAGTATCCCTGTGTGAGAGATACACCGACTGGTGGCCTCTCGCACGCCCCCAACTGGGGAACCTGGCCTACAACCCAGGCATGTGCCCTGACTGAGAATCAAACCAGCAACCTCTTAGTTCCAAGGCCAGCACTCAGTCTACTGAGCCACACCAGCCAGGGCTAGCCTGTTTTATTACAGAAAAAAAAATAATTTCAAGAAGACTATACTTGTGCATGCATGCATTCATTCAAAAAGTGATGAATGAGCACCTGAAAGTATTCATTTGATGAACATCCATCATGAATCATCATGGTTTACGATTAGCAGTAATTACTTTGATATTGAGAAAAAAGATCCTATGTTTGGAATATAATAGCAACACTACTCGTTATTGATGTGAGTGTGAATTCAGAAAACATTTCGGGAAGCCACTGGACAGCTTGTGCAAATAAATAAATATGCTTAAACTTCACCCATGTCAGGGTGATTCCAGGTTGGAAACCCTATTTGAGGAAACAGACATAAATATTTAAAGAAGCATCATGCAAAATGTTGACCATTATTTATTTATGTTTTTAATAATGGCAAAAGAGTTGCAAAGGCCCCCGAATGCCCCACTGTCTAGCAGGTCTGTTCTTGGAGAAGAAGCAAGCAGCTGATGTCTATCCACGTCAGCCTAAGGCAAGCCCGCCTCGATCCTCTTTCCAGAGGGAAGTACAGAAGTGTCCAAAGAAGTCATTAGGAGGCTTTCTCCTACCGTCTGCCCCAAAGGGGACAGCAGCATCCAAGGGAAATATAGGGTGAGGGTCGCCATAAGCTGATTGAACAGTGTAATCTTGGTTCCATGTTTATAACCAACATCTCATGTCAGAGGAAAAAAGCAATGAGAACACTTCAACGTGAGACCACTGAATCAGAAAACTTATTTTAAAAAAAGTAAAAATCACAGACCCATTGGAAGATTTAAGAGGAAACTTGGAAGAGTGAGAGCCTCTTACCTCACCCAAGAGAACATTTCAGTTCAGCCTCTTCCTCATTAGGTGACCTTGACTTTCTTCCCACAGCTCTCTGCACCACTTCCCTCCAACAGAGACATGGTGAAAATGATACGCGCCTCCCAGAGTTGCCCTGAAGGCTGGGTGAAGAAGGTGACTTTGGTGAAATCAACTACTGAGACAGGCGACGGCAATGTAACACAGGGTGCATGTGGACGGGTGTCAGGGGACGTCTGTGGGTGCGCACCTGCCGTAAGGTGTTGTCTGGTGTGGGGGTGTTTGGATATGCAGGTAGGCTTAGTCAAATGTCCAGAGTTAAGCAGAGTCACGTTCATCGAGAGAGAGAGGGAGAGAGAAACACATTGTACTTCAAGAATGTCCTTAAAACATGCATTTAGGATTGGGTGGTTATGCAATTTTTCAAAGAGAGAGTTAATATTGCTTTAGTGCTACACATTCGACAGTTGAAAGTGTTTGTGTGCAGCTCCTCACCAAATGCTAGTGACGTGCTTTGCATCTGAAGACAAATTTGACTGAGTCAAGGGCAGCGGCGGGCCCCAGGAGGAAGCCCCTGCCCAGCAACTTAGCTTTTCTTCCTCAAATTTGTGGAGGAAGATCTGTAACTGCAGAGAAAAGATGCGAGAGGTGCACTGCAAACAAGCTTTGGTGACATTTCACTCTGTTCGCCGTATCACATATCGACCCATTTCCCTCTGATGCATTTCAAAGGGAGGGACGGGTCCCAGTACAGCTCACCTGGCCTGCTGTGGCCTCTAGTTCAATACTCGTTTGCAGTTGCTGCTGAGGTCACATCCCCTCATGGCGACATAATCAGTCTGAAGTGTGGCGTTGCACGAGCGGTCCCCAGTGCACACCTGTGTGCAGCCTACCCTCCTCCCAGGACACAGAGTCACACCGTCACCCCAGGCAGCTCCTCACGCACCTCCCCGGACAATCCCTGCCCCACAAACCAGCACTCCTTCCGGTTCACACTCAGAACAGTCTTGCTGGGCTTAGAACTCCGTGTGCGTGGGGGGCTTAGAACTCTGTGTGCGTGGGACGCCGCAATGTTGCCCTTTGGGCTGATTGCACAGTGCAGTGTTTTGTGGACTCTCCCACCTTGATGAGTTGCCTTCCACTTTGAGTGACAGATCCAGGCAAGTGTTTCATGGCAAGTTATCAGGAGCCCTGCAATTTATCTGAACTGAGAATAGGCGCAGTCTGCCTCCCTTTAGTCTCAAAATGCCCCTTCTTTTATGAGGAGAGTCTGTCCTTCTGCTATGTCTTTATGGGGGGAGACACCCCTCTTTGCCCACATGCCTGGGCAAAACTGCGTTGCTGGTGGAGACACAACATTGAAACAAGTTTCTCCAGATTTTCCCAAATCCACTCAGACGCCTTTGGAATTGCCTGAGTGAATGTGTAATTGTTTTAATTTGCTGTTTTCTCTATTCCATGTTGGCGGCTGCCAAGGCCGTGGGGGCTCTGTCAACCTTTCTCCGGGGCCTCCCGAGTTGCCTTGGCCCATTTTTCACAAGCACCTCGTTTTGAAGCAGATATCACACATTTAAAAAAATTCATCCTTATAGTTTTGTCATTCTCAAATTTTTCTTTTTTTGGCATTTAAAAAAATTTAATTATTCTTCAAGTACAGTTTTTCTGTCTTTTACTCCCATCCCAGCCCCCCACCCTTTGGCTTTTTAAAAATTTCTCAAATTTTCAATACTGACCATATATGACTTTACACACCGAGGATAAAATTTACAAAAATCTGTGACGCACAAGGGCAGAAGATGGGTATTTCAATAAAATACAGGTTTTTAGAAAAGAAACAAAATGGAGAAATGATCATGTACAGCTATTAAGAGCCTCAAAGTCTTGCATTATTCATGATCAGAGGCTTAGTGGAAGCACTTTAAAAATTAGACACAACTGACAAA